CGAGAGCCTCGTCGATTAAGGTCGAGATTTATCGGGATATGGATTTTTTAAGTCAAAACATGTTTTTTCCGCCCCTTTACTTACAATTCACACGACAAACAACTTACGTTTCACCACGTACCAAGAAAGTAAAGTCCAATCAGAACATATCCAATCATTGCACTAAATGAACATTAGGCAATTTTTCGTGTGCTTGAATAATGTTTCACCGATTGAATTCCATTTTGCACATTGGATTTTGCTCTATCAAGTGTCATTTTCCTGAAAACAACTTGCATGTTACCATGTATTATAACTGCATTGTCTAGTCCCACTGTAGGTAAAGTTGAGCGCAAAATTGATAAAGGTTAAAAAGATGGTACCGAGTCAAAAATGGTTGTTATTTTATTATGAAAATCTTTTCTTTAAAAGCCAAGCCATGCAACCCTTTCGACATTTTATATAGTTCCACTGAGAAAAAATAAACGCAAGGGGACCTTTGACTATTACGGCCATTTTTCTTTATCGTGTCATGCTATTTGTCGTCTCAGTCTTTTAAATTTAGAGTCAATGCATCCGTAAATATCCCAGATGTGCCACACAATTCTGCGCGATGCGTGGAACTAGATGCTTGTGATATGGAGTTTTCCACGCAATATCCTCCCGCGTTTGACTTTTTCTACGATTTAAAGTCGCCATAAAGGTAACTGACGGCTAACAGGTCACTTTTTCGGAATACCGTTTAAATGCTTCGGGTAACACATTGAAACAGATACAAGGTGCTTTGTATGCCTCATAGTGCCTTTTTTCGCGGGAAAACTGTCCCGAAATGCAGCTTCATGGGTCATCGTCGAAAAGGCTTCGATTTTGATCATGTGACCTTACACGTCTCATGTGTGTACATTATCCAAAGTAAATATGGCGGATAGTACTTTGAGTGAAAGCAGTTCTATTTCGGGGTCTGGTTATTCGGATTTTGAGGCTTCGATTAAAGGTGAACATTATGAAAGGATTTATGAATCAGTTGGTGAAAGCAAGCCCTGGAAATTTGAACCGCCATGATGAAGGTAACCTAAAATAGAGCGCAAGAGTCAGAAGAGAATCAGGAGCCCTTACGCCGTGGCCGCCTCAATCAAGAAAGCGAGAATGGTGAGTGCATTTACGATTGTAAATAAAGTATCTGAAAATCAGTCGCTCATTAAATGTAGGAGCGATCAAGTAAAGAAAACCAAATGTGCAGACTCTTGAATACCATGGGAGCGAAGTGTTTTTATGCTATGTGCAGGCACCTTCCGAAGCTAAGGTTTCACTGACTGAAAATATAAACATACACACTTGTGGATGTTAATTGGATGGATTATACACGTTCACACGCGATTGAATCAGTTTTAAGTTTTCCTGTGTTAAATTTGGCGAACGATTGAAGATTTCTCGGCCTTTACTTTAAAACACGACGCAGCAAAAAATAGCATTCGCGCAAGTAGAATTGTAAATAAAGTAAAATAGCCTAAAGTTTGAGTTTTCTCTCACGTTTGTGACAGTTACGGAGCTGATAACTGTTCCTTTTGGTGAAACCAATCATACAAGTTGTTCTCTCTATTTAGAGAAGTACAGTTTTGGATAACCTCACACAGTGACATACACGGGACAAAATCTAAAGTCAAATACTTTTCGGCATAGACTAAAAAACATTTCTTTAAGTATAGGACTCGATAGTGGTTAAGAGGAAAAACTTATGGGAACATACATATTTTTACAGCTGTTTGGAATGGCGTGTAAATTACCCGTGGCTCTGAATACAGACCTGCGATCTGTAACGTTTCGATTATTCAGCCTTCGTCATTTTATTTCTCCCTTCGTATTTCATAGTCTCTAAATGGTGGCCTATATCAGAATGGTACAACTCTTATTTTTTTTTTCCGCTCGTAAATTTCGACAGCAGCTGAACAGCCGGGACGAAGTTGTTACTTTCAGGTCTTAACATGACGCTTTTCACCGCCTCACACACGTGTGACGTATCACATCGCGTGACCTGAATCGGACCGTTTTCAGAATGGCCGTCGATTAAGCGTCAAAAAAAAATTGGTAGAAAATAATATACCGTTAATTTGCTCATTTAGGATTCTTCAACCTAAGAAAAAAAAAAAGGAGAAAATTTTGGCGTCAGTTAACCTTTAAGCTACCTTGGACTTAACCCAATTGCGTATTAATTCCTTGTAAAAGAATCTGCAGTTTATCACGTATTTCACACACAGAGGGCAAAGTCCAGTTAGGCAACAACCAATCAAGGAGCCCTCTTTGAAATATTATTCTTTCCTCTTATTCAATGTTCTTCAGTTATTCGAGATCGCAATATATCTTTTGTTAGAGTTTATTAGAGGTACAACAAAGTTTCAGTTTGCTTTTCGTAGTAAAATTACCCAGAAATATATTTTTGAGTTTACGAACTGTAAAAGTACAATTTTGATTTTCTCTCTGTTAAAGGAACGGCAGTAAGCATAGTCTCTTTTGCAACCTTTATTGGGTCTCGTCACGCAACGCGCTCTCTCTCAAACTGGAAATAGAGGAGAGACAACAGTAAGCGTGACAGAAATGCATTTCATCTGAACTTGAAGTATTTCGACAATAGAGATAGATTGAAAGTTATGCTCTTTTCGGTGACAAAAATGAAAACATTAGTACACAAACCCACCCAGCCACATATAAACTCTTGCATGCTACGCATGCCTATGTTTTTTAGTTGGGATTGGATTGCTTTAGAGCTTTCCAATAAAAAACAAACTGAATAATGACACTGATAGTAAAAACCCACATTTAAAAATGTATAAAACGCAAAAAATCTTTAAAGCTGAAATTATTTCAAGCTAAGAAAAGCGAAGATCCAAATCCAGTATAAATCCACAATAGCTTTAGCGAATACACACGAAAGACTCTTACTTCATCCCAAATGTTTGTATGACTCTGCACGGAATATCTGTGTTCCTGTGTAGAAGGTGTTTTCAGGAAACACACAAAGATTTCAATTAAGCCTGACGGGATTCCATTCATAGAGATTTTAAAGTGCCGAAGCCACGGGACACCTGAAACGGATATAGTGGAAGAACGCCATGGTTTTTTTTAGATTTCTCCGCGAAAGGTTTGCATTTGTTGAAAACGATTGTATGCCAATCATCTACCTGGAGTACTTCTTATGGAATACTTAAGAAACGATGAACTTAAAAGAATCTGCGCGCAAAATATTTAACACCATGAGAAGGTTAATTAAAAATGTATGATTGTATCGCAGCTCAGCATTCATTACAGTTGAATTGGCAATAATTTTTCTCCAAACTATAATCTCTATCAAAAACTTCAGTTTAAAACTCAGATTTTTGTTGGTATTTCGTGTCTTTCTGTTCGTACGGAATACCTAAGCCTTTCAACATTTGCAAAGTTTCTTCAAACTATTTGAATTTTCTCTTGTACGTGTTATGACAAGTTTTAGGTTTTGTTATCAGTCAAATTAATTATTTAGATGAAATTAAACACTAAGAAAGTGTCTGAATACATGGCACTCGTTGTTGATGGTTTTCCCACTCAAGGCTTGGCCCCGCTGATCGTCTTTACGGCTCTGCCGCAGTCTAAAATTAACTTTATCATTCTCTGGTTAAAAAAAACGGCGAAAACATTCGGTCAACGGCCTGGAAGTCCGATTTTTCAGTGCTGGATATGCGTGACTAATACCCCATTCACACCAGCAAAACATGTTTTGTTAAACGGGTTTTCATTGAATGAAAATTATAAACAGAGAACTGAAAAACTTGATTTTCCATTGGATTCAAGTACTTGCTAACTTGCATTTCCAATGTGCTACATTCAAGTCAAAAATATTCGGCTAAATAGTTTCTATGAAGAAAAAAAAAATTAAACTGTGTTTAACAAAACAACTTTTAAACATGTTTAAGCTTTGGTGTGAATGGGGCATAAGCGACCAATGGAAGGGTACAGTTTTTCATTTTTATCTCTGTTGCTATTAAGTGCTCCGTTAGGAGCGTGGCCTCACTGCTTCATGGAAGGAAACAAAGGTAAGAGCCAACTTTGATTCAGAATTGCACTAGATGATCTTCTTGGCATGTTTAAAGAAATATTACATCAGATTTCTTTAAGGGGAAAGACTACTTACCTTTTGAACATTCATGTCCGTGTTTCACTTTTATTTCAATGCTAATCTTACTCTACCAGCCTTGAAATCCAAATTCATTTGGAATTTGTTTGTAAACTCTAATTGTATGGTCTATAAGGTCGCCTGCAATTCAGTCGCACCTAAAAGAAGCAGGAATATTGATAAAACTTCACGCCAGTCAACGATTTAGGACAAGTTGTTAAAATCGATCAATTTTCAGCTGCTAGCAAGAAGGTATTACGCGAAAAAAAAACTTTTAGCAATGACTATTTTAGGTTAATATTTTCATTAAGCTCTTGTTATAGTTTTCTTTGTTAGAGAGATTTTGAATATTTTGTTAGCTTTTACAGAAAAATTGATGCCAGCCAAAAAGCGATATTTACTTCACTTATTCAAATGAATTTTTAATCACTTAGGGGTCTATTCTACAGAGTATTTTGTATTTGGTCAAACAAGTAGCTTGTTTACTTTTGTCAAAAACTTCCTCTTCCTGCATACATTTTTTATGCTCATCGAGAAAGACAAATCGTCTCAGTTTATGGCTAACAAAGAGATCATTCTAGTTATTCAAGTATAAGGATCGTTATGGACCATTCAGCTTCTTTTAATTTCGTCTGTAATTTGGACGCTTTGGTGATATATGCTCGAAGTTTATGCCATCAATTCTAAAGAAATTCCTGTTAAAAAAGTAAGTGACGCTTTTCATCATTTATTTTGCAAATCCCTTGCAGACCATGGTTGCCGAAGTCTTATGTTTCTGAAATCCTTTGGAGGACATGCTTTGCAACGCCACGTTTTTAAAGAAATTTATTTAACCATGGGAATTAAGCCCTATAGCGACTGCAAAAATAGATGCCTCATGGAAAATTCCTGTGTGTCCGTGAACATCGGTCCACCCGACAAGAATGGCCTAAGGGTCTGTCAACTGAGTGATTCTGATCACACCCAACATCCTGATGACCTTAATCCCCGAGAAGGATATTTGTATTGGGCTTCAAAGGTACGGGAAAAAATGGATTTTACCTGATGATGTTTATTTACCAATTTTTGATACTAAAAATATTCCTGAAAATAAATCTGTCCTTTTAGAATGCGTGCTCCAGCAAGCCCTGTCCTCAAAATATGACCTGCATTAATGGGTTTACTGACAAGGGATACATTTGCTCAATGTGTAAAGTTGGTTTCATGGGAGAAAGATGTGAACAAGGTAAAAAAAGAACTTTGTTTTTCGGTATTTAAGTTTATTCTGAATTTTTTTGGTCCTCTCCTCTTTTGTACGTTCAGTTGGTAATAAAAATCAATTAATTCACACAATAAGTTTCTTTGGGAGAACTCTCTTTCCCTAAATTTGTTTATTTAACAAATAGAGAAGCCTTGACTGTGCTCTGTTCTGATATAAAGCACTTAGGAAGCGGCTAGAGCACGAAAGAAGTGTAGGGAGAAACACGAGACGTAGTCGAGTGTTTCTCCCCACTTCTTGAGATGTAGTTTCTGAGGCTTGCTTTACTGTGATGACCGGAGATCGCCATGATAAGCGAACCGCGATGGACTTCAGCATGATCATATTTGCTCAGACACCGTCATGATTAGTATGAATTTTTAACAGTTATGCCAGTTTTGTTATATTTTTCATCATTTCTGTTTTGTTCTGTTTTGTTCTGTTTTGTTTTTGAACTCTGTACTTTATATACTATACGAGTGTTGGCTGTGTTTGATATATTACCGCAGTAAGCTTGCAATCTAACTGAGTGTGAAAATCTTTAAAACTTGGAATGTCTATTTTGTTTTTCCTTTGAGGATTTTCGTATCTGCTCACGTTTTAAAAAGGTAAATTACGGCGCCTGGTATGTTTACAAACCTTTTTTTGGTTCTTCTGTTTCTACTTGCCGGCTCGCTTGTTCCAAAATTTCACTTTCAATTATCGGAAAGAAAGCTAAAAAGAAGTCCCGGAAAAGGTCGAACATAGTACAATTTGGCAGATGGCGTGACAGCTTTAGCTCAGTTTTATGCTCTATACTCTCATAGAGCACGCTCTTTCAACCAATGACAGCGTGCGTTATATCCGAACTTTATTATAAACGTATTTATTTATTTATTTATTTTTTGTATTAACTTCTATAACGTGTGTAAAATGAGTGTGTTTTCATTTTTGTAACAGCTCCGGTGCTCCATGAATGGTTTTTTTAGAGGAAGCTTTTCATATATAATTTTTTTTAAATAATTACAATAGTTAAAACAAACAAAACGAAGCAGAAAACCCTCTTACCCCATGGATGCCTTCTTTTCCTCTGGAATTTTCTTTGTAAAGCCCCGGAAAGCATTGGAGTGAAGTACGAAAATCTCGTAACTGTGGAATGGGCTGGACTTTGTGTCTTTCCATATTAATCAGTTTCTATACCTGGCCCTCTATGATAATGTGAGTTGTTAGCCATTCCTCTGAGTGATACCTAATTCAGTAGTAAACCCTTTGGAATTCAAGAGAGTTATTTCTACTTGAGCGTTTTCTTTCATTCGAAGATAATTATAGTTTAACATCATCTACTTTTTTGTTCTTCTTTCAGATATAAACGAGTGCATCAGTGACACTCACGGTTGTCATTATAATGCAAGTTGCAACAACACATTTGGTTCATACACATGCAAATGCAAGCCAGGATTTAGTTGCAGTTAGTATGACAGATGTTTTGATTGTTAATCAGTGCAACGTCTATACAGTAATTATATGGAAACAGACGAGATTCTCATCAACCAACACCACAGGTTCATAACCAACAAGTCGTGTATAAGTTGATCAAACCATAATTTGAAATAGCTTGCATTATGATATCCTTTTGGAAAAAGCCAGATTTTCATGAATATGTTTAACCAAATTTCCAAATTTCCAAATTATGTCATGTTTTCGATTACTTCTACTACTACGTTCTTAAAGAGTTTCAGAGTTAAAAAAGAATAAAAATAATAATAGTAATAATAAAAAAAGGAACAGGCAAACAAACAAAATATAACAATAGATTACATCAAGATTTTTATCTTTCTCAATTTAATGAAAGAACGCGTGATATGAAAAAATGGTTCAAGTAGACTTTTTTATCCTTCAGCATTTCAAGCCGTTTTTACAAATCTCAATGCCACTGGAAGATATGGTCCAACGACGTTGGGTAGCCACTACACAGGTCAGGATCATGATGGACAAGTTACACTGTCCAGCGGTATTCAACAATGGAATGTGCCGTACACTGGTGACTACAGAATAGAAGCGATCGGAGCAGCAGGAGGGTACGATCGATTTCGAAGCAGTGCTCAGTACCGAGGAAGAGGAGCAATTATGATGGGAACATTTCGCCTAAACAAGGGTGAAGTCATACAAATAATTGTTGGTCAAGAAGGAGGAGTAAACAAGCTGAGGTGGTCTTCTGGAGGTGGTGGAGGTACATTTGTAGTGAGAGGAGCCAATACACCTTTGATGATAGCTGGAGGCGGGGGAGGCGTACGAAGAGTTGAATCAAGACATAAAGGATGTGACGCCAGCACACAAACAGCAGGGAATCCTGGATACAAATCATGGTCAGGGGGAAGCAATGGACATGGTGCACGGACTTCTGATAATAGCTCTCATTCAGGTAAAAATATATTGTCATGTTTCCTTACTATTCGTGGCTTTCGCAGCAACTTAATCGAGTCACACGTTTCTGGTTTCTATGCAAGACTAGTAATAATTCAATTCAGTTGAACGGCAATTTCTATTTCAACTCTTTTTTTTTATAACTTTTATCTTAAAAGTTATCCGGGCCCTCCGCGGAAAAACTTAATGGTCGCTAATCGATTGCGAACAGCGAAGATTGCTTAAACCCCAAGCCTTAATCCGTTTCGACATTCCGCGTCGAATTTCTTGAATTCTTATGAAGACAGCCAGACCTCTTTTCACTTTCATCTAAGGAATCTTCTCCTTTTCATCTATGTCTATTCCCATTCTAGTCTTAAATGCAGACATATATCAAAGGTCTTAACGTGTAACCGAAATCGGGAGATGTTTACGTGATCGAAATTCGAGGATCAAGACGTTTTGTCATTAGAAACCCTTCGGGAGTAATTTATGTTGACATGTTATAATTGGCTATTCAGAATTTGGCCCGCTTACGAATTCAGTTCAAAGATGTTTTTGTCAATAACTCGTGTGTTTCTCAATATTTTAAAGTAAATCTTTCTTGGAAACTATATGTCAAATAACAAAGTTTTCAAAAAAAAAAAGGAAATTCCAAAAAAATGGCCCTCGAAGGTCTACCGTATCCTTGAATCAATTTCCATTTAACAATTTTTTTCCTCAGGTGGAGGTGGTGGCGGCTTTTGCTCAAGTGGAAGAAGTGGAGCGTATTTTCATGGAACCGTTGGAGAGGGTGGTAAGGGATTTCTTCAGGGAGGGGTGGGTGGGAGAACCCGTTTCAACGATACCACCGGTGGGTTTGGGGGAGGAGGCGGGGCTTGGGGATGGAGAGGGGGCGGAGGAGGAGGAGGAGGAGGGTACTCTGGGGGAGGTAGTGGTAAACACCTGATTGATTCCTGTGGCGGTGGAGGTGGATCATTCAATGCTGGAAACAACCAACAGAATGATTGTTGTTACAACTCTGCAGGTCATGGTCAGGTGACGATAACGTTACAGTAGAGTAAACTAACCATAAGCTACCAAACTGAAAAAAAATCAGTAGACTGAGAGTGTGAATCAGGGCGTTGGACGTTATATTTCTTTAACCTGGACATTAAATCGAGGTTGATCTTCACAGGGAAGTGTTGAAAACAGACTTCTACTTAAGAGACTATTTCATTATAGCATCAGAACAACTAGCATATCTCAAAGCTTCATCTTGATATCCTAATTTTCTCTTGATCGAGAATTTTAGTGATAATATGTCATTATGTTGGCTGACCAGTTCTCGGCTGGCTTGTTAACTTAGTTTTTAGAGCACTGCACCAATATCTCAGAGGTCGTGGGTTCAAATCTCGCACAGGTCTGGATTGTTCAGGCCTTATTTTCACTTCTGCTTAGGTAGTGTTTATTTTAACGAAGATTGTTTTCATTTTCATAAAAGTTGTTCGCTTAACAACCATTTTGAGGACTTTCAAATGTCATAGCCATAAATGAACTATATAGACTTAAGGTGTGTAAACTTTATCGACATTTAGAAGGCAAACCTAAACATTCCTTAAAAATGATAATAGAATGGAAAACAATATATTACAGAGAAAAGACAATCTCGTTCTGTAACTCAACTGTGATGAAACTCTTCAGCACCGGCTGTCGAAGAGTTTCTTCAAGGGGCTTAATGACCAGTCGAGGGTGGTGGGGAGAAATGACGGGGTCTGAAACCGAGGGACTCTTTACAACTTGCTAAGCGATCAACACGTATGTTAGCCAGTAGTTCATTAAACAGCTGAGGACCTTCGTTATTGTTCCTGATGTTTTGATCAAATTTTCGAGGATAAGGAATGTTTTTTTCTCAGATGTCGTGTATGATGTCAGCATCAGCTGAAATTACATTTTATTGAGCCTGACTGATAATTTCGGTTTGGGAAAATGAGCCAAAATTGAAAGAAACGATGATAAACTACTTCGAGTTAAGACCTCACTGGTTGATTAAAGAGTATACACGTGAGAAAAGTGAGACAGTAAAACAATACGCCCGAATCGAATGGGCATCTCTTACAAGTATATCTTCTCTCGAAGTCGTCAGATATGACTGCTCTCTCCACTTTTTTCCCCAACTTTTCGACCACCTCTAATAAGCGTAGAAAATTAAAAAGACAAGTCATTTTCAACTCGTGTTTAAACCTGTTATTTTTTCGTATTTTTTCTTTTTGGCTATTATTTTTCACGATTGTCCTCTGGCTGGAAGTACACAGTGTCTTCTTTTAGATTTTTTTTATTTATTAAATTCGGTAATCACTGTAACTGCATATAATAAAGGCGTCTTTAAGCCAACAGTCTATAATCTTAGCAACTAAAATATGAAATTTGCCCGAAATGTTTCTTGCGCTGCGAAAGTTTGATTTAAAGGAAGACTTAGGATTCAATCATGCAGGCATTTATAAAAAACTTGAGATAATACCTGGATTTCACTTGTACATCATAGAAATTAATTCCAAATATCAATCAAGTTTTTTCTTTAGTTTAGAAGTTGATTTGATAATGTTATTGGCTATATTAAAGAGGTTGAAAAGTTTCAACTGGTTTCTCTCATGTTTGGAAATAATTGAATTTACAGGGAGGTGGAGTTGTTGCAACATGTTAACATGAAACACAACGATAATTTTATTGATATGTAAAAAGTTTCCATTTGACTATCTACTGGGAAGTCTGTATTATATTTCTACCCAACCATTTTCCACAACATGTAAACACTATGACGAAATGATTAGTCAGGGAATTGGAAAATGTGTGGCATGTACACCATGTTTGAAATGCCACGTCCAGAATAAGCTCACAGGATTGAGGAGGTTGTATGTGGGAATAGGCTCACTTTTTTGTACCATTAATTAGCTAATCGCTCCTGTTGCTAATGTTTTGATGAGGTTGGGCTGTCAGGTGAAAGGAACTGAGGATTTTAGCTGGCAAAGTGACTTTTTAAACCTGGAAAGTATCATCGCGAAAAGCCATAAATTGGCCTGGTAGTTCATTTTTATTCTGATCACCTAGTTTTAAGAAGGAAGCAATATTTTATTGCATACATTAGATGCATGGGCTGTGCACAAGACTTTAATTTGACTACAATTTTATAGCCAATACCAATCCCTACACATGATAAAATGTTAGGAGGATCAGAGGGAAAAATAGTGTGTCATACATCTGCAAGATTTCATGTAATTGTTTTAGTTACATGAATATAAACTGACACCAGGAGAATATTCAAAAGAATAGAAAATATGGTTAAAAAGCTAGAATTCGGCATAGGCCGGATAAAGAAGATTCTGAAAAAAGAAAGTGTTCTAATGAAAAAGCTAGGCAAACTTTTTTACAAAAACTGCCTGTATCTGTTTGGCGCGTAGTCAAGCTATTCAAAGTAGTCATAATCCCGGTTTTAATGATGAAAACACACGCACGTGCAGATGAAAATAGAAATCTGTTCCTGCAAAAAATAACCTTCTGTAGTAAGAGGACAGGCTTTCCTTTCTTCATTTAAAAGAAGTACTGACCTTATTATCTCTCCACAAGCTCAGTTGACAGTGAGAGTGAATGAAATTGATAGTGACTATGTCAGTTGAGTAAATATCCGGAAGGGGAAAAAAAGTAATATATGGCCTGCAGAACTCTGTTGTTCTAATTTTTTAACCAATTAGCTAAGGCACTCATATTCTTGCTTTGTGCATTACACGATCACATACACTGTGACCAATTCCCTACGTAAATGTTTAATTTGGTTATGAGAATCGGTAAGAAACACCATACACTATTGAAAACACAAGAAAGAGTGTTTCAAGCAACCTTAATAATAACATTTAATATTACAATGTGGTTACTTACACAGAAAAATTATATAATCACACAATTCCGAACAAAGGAAGTCAGGTCTTAGACTAACCTGCTTCAACTTTTGAGGGCTTAGGGTACAGAGGAATAGATATGGTAAACAGTTACAATTGATACAAAGTTAAAAGTTTGAAAGCTAAAAGATACACATTACAATCATCAACCCTACGCATTCTAGCAAAAACAGGGTCTATTACCACCACAACTTCTCCCAAACATTCATATAATACATATACGGATTTATCGTTCGTAATTACCGATTAAATTCCGAAGGTGTGACTCAATTAATTCAAAAGAGAATATCCAAGCAGGCTGTAAAAATGGCTCACGAATTGTAAAGTGAGAATGTGTTAACAAACTTCCCGAAGTCATGGTACCGATTCGAATTTATCGTTCATAATCCCTCATGAAATTCCAAGATTGTAACTTAAGAAGTTCATCAGAAAATATGCAGGAAGGCTACAGAAACGGACTCTCAAAAACTGCTCTTGATTTCGAAAAACTGTAAGCAAGAATTACCAGCGTGCTTTTGAGCTCAAATTGCCAGAAACCTGTTTCATTACACGATCACACCTCAGATCCTTCTAGTAAAATGTAATGACTATCAGTTTCAGAGATTGATTCTTCAGTTTCCAGCATTAGGAAAAAATTATCGCATCGCAAGCTTGTTCATCATAACCCGAGCATTAAATACGCCTGGAGATGTTGAGCGAAGAGAAAGTGGTTCCATGTTCATGACAAAAAAAATTCCTGAAGTTCGAGCGAATCGAGCGCTGAAAAGAACCACGACTAAACAATGAAATTCACTCCTCCTGCGCTAGGAGTAACTCCACTTTACCTGTGAGTTTGTTTGCACTATACATTTGCGGTCTGTAATTCAATTCTCAGATGCTTGACCACATGTGGCCCAAGCTCACATCTCGAGAAAAAGCCAACGATTAATTCATGAAAGCGTCACGTGTTGTGTGACTCGGTGTTAAGTTACGAGAGGAACCGTTGGAAAATTTGGTCGATTTACAGCGGTAAATATTTCGAAATATGAATATTTTACACATTTTACCATCACTGACTAACAGCGATGGTAAAGCAAGCTTAAAACGGCAGAAATCGCCAGAAACTACAATGGAAGACACAGGATATGTGTAAGTTTTATTTGTTATACTTGTAAAATGTTCATATTTCGAAATATTTGTCGTTGTAAATCGACCATATTTTGGTCCCCATACTATTCCTTACAAGGTGTTCAAATTTTCTTACCGCGTAAGACTTAATGTAAACATAAACATCGCTGACTCAGTCTCATGTTATTTCAATTTTGGGAGAGGCCATTACTTCGTTTTTAAGGTAAAAGAACACATCTTCGATGAAGTGCGATTTTTTAAATGACTAGGGTAAACCTTGCGATAGTTAACAGACGAGAGAGCGATAGAAACTTGTTCACGCCGTTCGCTATCATTTGAAAACATAATCCTTAAGATAACTTCTTTTCCCTTAACACCACGAGGACCACGAGTGTATTAAACATTCTAAACAATGGGACAAGAAATAACTTAAAGAATACGAACACTTTGAAATTTTATTAAAGCGATGAGCCGGCGGAAGGTTTTACCGAAACGTGATTTGAATTATAAACCGAAGCTAGAACTAAACGACAATTGGTGAAAAACGGTTTTAATCTTAGCGTAAGAGAAAACCTAGATAAGAAACGACTTACCCCCATTTCTTCCTCGGATCCTTTGTGGTTCGCTTCTCTTTGTTGATGACCTCTTATCAGTCTATTATCTGGAGCTCTTTGTATTTCCTTCTAGCGTTGCTTTTCGCTAGATATTCCCCTTTTTACGTATGCCTTAGCTTCTCTTGTTCTCTTTCGCGTTCTTCTTGCCGTATTCTGCCTTTTTTCGGCATCCTTTCCAACTTTCTAGCGCGAATTTCTTGACTCGCTTTACGCCTTTAACCTCTTGCTTTCTTTGGTCGCTCTGTCTCTTTCGTTCCAGCCAATTTTCACTCAAAACCCTTTCTTCACGAACTGGAATTATAACAATTTCCTCCGGTTGACAAAGCGTTAGCTCTGCCGGTATTGTTGCGAGTTGGTTAGAAAATGCAAAATACTGAGAATTACTGTTTAACCACAACCTCACCAGTTTGATTTCCTGCTCAAAACGCGGAATGTAAATTATTTGCTTACGCGGCTTCACATCTACTAGCCCACTTGAAGCCCTCGCGTAATGCCCAACCGTGTACCCTTGGTATGCCATGATATGATGGTTTATTATTATTGTTATTATTATTATTATTATTATTTGGGGATTGAGAGTCAGATTGTCGCAACCAATTGAAAAACATTCGTTTGCATTAATTTTCTTCTTTATAAACGTAACATTTAAAAGTTCAAAAAATGAATGAAGTAAAAAAGAAACAAAGGGTGCATCCTGTAAATCTGCGCACGTTGAAGAAACCGATGGTTGAGTTGATAACAAAAGAAGTCTTTGAATAACTCTCTTGCAATAAAATTCCTTCTTAAATGTAAAACTTTTTCCTGACGATCATTGCAAGGCAAATTATCATAAGAGGCTACCAGGCATAGCACACATTCATGTGATCCAAATAGCGTCAAGCTCGGTATCTATTTAACAAATAGAGAAGCCTTTAGTGGGCTCTGTTCTGCTGCAACGCGAGAAGGAAGAGGCTAGAGCGCGAGTGAGGACTTTCGTCTCTGCTTACGTTATAATAATGTAAATTACGGCGCTTGCTATGTTTACAAACCTTCGTTTGGGTCTTCTGTGGTTGCTTTCCGGTTCGCTTGTTCCGAAATTTCACTTACGGAAAAAGGCTAGATAGAAATCCGTGGAATTGTCGGATATAGTTCAATTTGGAAGATAGCGTGACAGCTTCAGCACAGCTTTATGTTTTAATTCTTAGCCTGTGACAGAGCAATAAAGAAGATCAACGGAACTAAGAAGTCATATACTTATTGTTTAATTTCACCATTATTAATCAATTCGACCAATAACAAAACATCTCCTAAAACTTGTCATAGCACGTACACGCAAAAAGCCAAACAGCTTGATGGGACTTTGCAAATGTTGAAAGGCTAAGGTATTCCGTGAAAGCAGAGAGGCCTAAAATAACAACAAAAATCTGAGTTTTAAGCCCGAGTTTTTGATAGAGATTATGATTGAGAGAAATTACCGCCAATTACACCTGTAATGAATACACAACGTTACAAGCTCATATCCATTATGCAGTTAGCCATGCAGTCTAAATTAGGCCAAATCCGTTGATTGGGTTAAAATCTCTAAGTATCGTTTCCCTTCAGGCTTAATTTATAGCTTTGTGGGTTTCCTTAAAACACCTGCTACACAGGAACACAGATATTCCGTGCACAGGCATACGAACATTTTGGATGAAGTAAGCGTCTTTCGTTGGTATTCGCTAAAGCTATTGTGGATTTATAGTTGATTTGGATCTCTATTTTACTTAGCCTGGAATAATTTCAGCATTAATTAAAGTTTTTTTTTGCATTGTATCGGTTTTTAAAATTTATTTTTCAACTGACAGTGTCATTCAGTTCTTTATTGTTGATGGACAGCCCAAAAGCAACCCAATCCACCGGAAAAAAAAGCGCATTAATTCAAATTCTGCTCGTTGGTGATTTTTGTAGGCCATAGAAGGTGCATGCAAACAACATTTTTGCAAATAAAACTTGTAACGATCACTAAGAACCGTTCAACGACGATTTGATGATCAGATATTTTCTTTAGACTCATATATATTTCATAGAGCTCATACATTTTGCAACAGAACAGAGCCCAATCAAGGCTTCTCTATTTGTTAAATAGATACCGAGCCTGACGCTGCTTGGTTCACATGGATGTTTGCTATGCCTGTTTGCCTCTTCTGATAATTTGCCTTGCATTGATTGTCAGGCAACCTTTCTACAATTAAAAGGACTTAAAGGTATTTTATTGTAAAATAATAATTATAAAAACTTCTTTTTTATCGACTCTATTATGTTATCTTCAACTTGCGCAGACTTGCAGGATGCATCCTTTGATTCTTTCCTATTCTATTCATTTTTTAAACTTCTAAATGTTTCGAAAATAGAAAGAAGAAAATAAATGCAAACCAATGTCCTTCAACTAATGGCGACAACCTCACTCTCAATCCCCAAAGAATAATGATAATAATAATAATAATTAATAACACCCAATATCCTGATAACTTTAGACCCCAAGAAGAATATATGTACTGGGTTACAGAAGTATGGGGATCTGGATAGACATGAAAATGAAGTTAATTCTCATAATACTCGATTGCATATCCCTTTTTTTTTCTGTCTTTTTATGTTAAAACGCTTATGTTATGTTAGAACGCTTCGTGTTCTAGTAATCCCTGTCCTCAGAATGTGACCTGCCCTAATGGATTCACCGACAAGTGATACATTGGCTTAACGAGTCAAGTTGGTTACGTGGGAGAAAACTGGAGAAAAAAGGAAAAAACTCAGATATTTTAGTTTGATTTTGATTTTTTTAGTATTCTCTTCATGTGTAGGTTCATAGTAGGAATGTGTAGGTTGTATAGTATATCCAGTGTTGAAAGCTATGCGTATTGCCCCTCCTCAGTCATTATGCCTGTCATCTTTGACACTTATACTGCAATGCGATTAATATGGTATCTCCACGATAGTTCCTCATCAACGTATAAACCCAAGTTAAGACCTTTGTGTAGCTAACCTTTTCTATTGACTCTTCATGAACTCAAATAAAAAGTTACGAACGTTCAGACGGTTTCAAAATGCTTTTGGAAGAGCTCCCATCGATATCGCTCATTAACACGGTTGGCAAAGCCAAGGTATGATAGGTGATGTATCAAAGGTGTTAAAATTCGCGGCAATTGTGCGTGGATTTACATGGTGGACATTGCTTGTTTTGACAAATGTATTGTCATTCTACTTATTGAAGCAAACCTTCAAGATTTGCCCTTCCAAACAAAGTCTGGAAGGGCAAATCTGGCCCATTCTTCTTCAATTTTAGCAAGGTCGCCTTTAAATTTGCCGCCTTAATCGTTATGAATAATAAGTGCGTCATGACAATCTGGCAGCTCCTCCCCCCCTCCCCCTGTGGGCAAAAACCTCATGACTGAGGAGCTGCTAAGTGTCACAGGCAGTCATCTTAGAAGAGGTTGCAAACATTTGCATGCTCATTTTTCGCTCTTTTATGGTCGGAAAAGACTATTCGTCTGTGCTTGTCTCGATTCTTTTTGTATTCAGTTAAAATGACGATAAGCTGAGAAGAGAATGTAAAAAAACCAAGCGGACAGACAAATCAGTCCTTGTATCTGTACAGTTGTTTACTTGCTCAAAGTTGAGAATTATCATCTTAAGTATAGCAAATTTCTCAAAGATACATACAAGAAAAGTAAGTCGGCTTTAACTAGTTGTACATACATCATAACTATTCTATAGGTACAATTTACATGACAACCAGCTCCCATTTTGGTTGACTTTAGCGCTTTAAGTACCCGATCAATGAAGGCATGTGGTTATTATTCGGATTTCCTTTAAGCCTGGTTTTCCTAGTTTAGCATTCCAGAAACTATTTTTTGCATAAAGCATCATAGCGGAGCCTGATATTGAGGGAGACATCTTAAAGCCGAGAAAGTTTCTTTAAGGCGACATCCTATATGTATGACTGAAATTCATCATTCCGTCCCTTTAATTTTAACTTGAATGCAATAAAGTTATTGGTCCTTGTTCACTCCATACTTTCTTGTAAAGCACAATTTAGATTAAAGGTTCTGAAACTATGAAAACGTTTTATAAAACTGTATTCATGTACAACATGGCCCTAACAGCTATAGGACTGGCAGATCACTCCATTGACCTCATTTCTTTCTGCTACCAATCTCTTCCATCGCTGATTACAGATGTGTTTATATATAGGAGATATGGCGCGATGCAGGCATTCCTTTGGTTCATCACTTTTATAAAATTGAGAATATTTATTGTCAGATCTCTGTCAATTTGTGGCTGGAAATACGGCGTTAAACCTTCTATTCAAACGCTCTTTAATCTGCAAAAAGGAAAAGATATCATGACATTTTTAGTCTCAGCCTGGAAATAAGGTGTCTAAAAATTACTCGCTATGATCTTCCAAAGTTGAACCTAAAAGTTAGACTTCAAAAGGACCCTCAAGTGATAGAAAAAGCGAAAAGGACCTATGTTACGACTTCCTTATACGGCCAGGCTGCTTATGACGATTGAAAATTTTGGGTTCAGTGGGTGACTTGCCCATTAGAAGACAATTCTTAAGAAGGCTAAGGTAGTCTCTGACAGTTTAAAATGTGCTTATCACCATAATTTCACATCTAATCTTTTAACCGCATTAACAACCAGCGTAAGTTTTCTCCATATGCATTACCTTCAGGTGGTAACTGTGTTAAGATAACGAGTCTTACAGCGTCAATTTTAATTTTTCATTTAACTGAGCCTCATGTCTCTCTTGTGACTTGTACTTTGAACAAAATCATCGTCAATAATTGAAATCAAAATCAAGCTAAAAGATTAATTTAAAAATATTAACAAAACCACTTGTACTTACCTGAGTGTTTCGTACACAATGCAATAGAAAAATGAGAAATCCCTGCAAAAAGAATAAGATGCACCTCTTTATGATGCGAGCAGCTTAAAAATGATAAGGCTGTTGATTTTGAGGCTTGCTTATTTAAAAAGCTCACTAATGGTGTCTCGTAAAACATAACAATGGTTTACCTGAGTTGAGCTGAAGATAGTAAAGATATAGGCAAAAGCTTTGTGAAACGTCGAAAAGATACCAAATAACCACGTGACACCCAGCAAGGGAATCATTACTGCGCATGTCTTGATGCAGAGTCTGTAAAAAAAAAAGGAAACTACAGAGAAACAAACAACAACAAAAAAATAACAATAAAAAACAGAGCAATACAAAAACAAGATAAGAAGAAATAACAAACAAGCTGGTTTTTTTGTTGTCGTTATTGTTTTTATTGTTGTTCATGTTATTGTTCTCATTTTCCGGTCCCTAACGTTCATTTTTACTCTTACCTTATCTGATGATTTTCTGGAGCTGGCTGTGTTCCGGACATTTCTTTTACAACTCTGGCCAGAATTATCAAGTTGAGCTACAAAATAGTAATATTTAAAATAGGCCAAACATTCATGTGTAATTGCCAGCAACTACTCAGCTACTAACTTGTTGACTTCAGTCTGAGCCCCAGTTATTTGACAATTATTCCATGAGCGCGCTGGATATGAGATGGTAGAAAGCCAACAAGGCGCCTAGCCCGTTATAGGCTACAGCCTATTTGGTATCGAACGAGTGCAAATGGAATAGTTGTTTTTATGAATTTCCATATAAGGTGACTCGGAATAAGAGCTGATAACTGGAGTTCAGTGAACCAATGACAACAAGAGAATGCAATATTTATACTTGAAAATTTAGTGATTGTTTATTCACCAGTAAGCAGCATGATGTTTTACTGTAGGATTCAAGGAGAGTGTTGTCTGCACGTCAATAGGCCTGTTTCCCGAAAGCCCTTACAGTCAACGGTCAAGGAAAGCAATTGTGTTCATGTGCTTCTTTCTTTACCGTTTTCCTAATTTATGATTGAGATATCAACGGCTATTAAATTCAGACAAATAAAGAGAATGTGTATTTTTTTTTAGCCAAGACCGCACAGCAAACAGGCCTTTCTTTTTGGACCGTTATAGGCCAGTTTTGTCCAGCTGTTTTTGATTCAAATACATCCTTCATCAATACAAGTCTTCCCAACTTTAAAGTATGAATAACATCTTGCTGCGAGTTTTTGGATTTTGAAAATTGTAATGAGACTATCAGCTATGTTTAAAAATTGTGATCTACTTACAACTTCCACCGTCACCACAAAAACAGCAAATATCCAGATAGAATGATTTGCGTTGGAGAGCCAGCAGCTTATTCACGACACAAATTACATAATTATATTAGTCTTGAAGTTTAATCAAGCCATCAAAAGTTGAAACAGAAGAGAGAAGGGGGAGGAGAATGTGTTTCCTTTGCTATGACATCTGCGAATAGTTAGACATTGTAGTCTTCTAGGATAAGGTCGATGAACCGTAGGCCCGGTCTCCTGCATTTTCTCATTACTGGTTAGCAGGGAAAGATACAGAACTCACTCACAATTGTTGCAAAGTGTAGAGAACGTGGCTCCTGGTGTGGTGATCTGGCCATGTTATCTTATAAATAGTCCCCAAATAAACTAGCTCTAAAGCTGAAATGGTCTGAACTGTCTTAATAAGTAAATAAATAATGAAACTTAAATAGATACATACAGATACTTACTATTCTTTGCTGACAAAACTACCGATTTCGTCCCTCGCTGAAGCAATTAACAGCGAAATACTGACCATAACAGCTGGAAAAGCTACAATTAACGCAAAGGAAAGTTTTAAAGACAATGAGATTACCACGTATCAATATCATTTTGATAACGAAAACTTGATATCGCCTTTAATAATTGTTGCAATAGTGGAAGAGCCTACCCCAGGAAAAAGCATGGTACATGGCCATCTTCTCATTTATATTATAAACTTTGACAACAAACAGGTAAAGATAAATTCCTTCGACAAGCATCCAACAAAAGGCTGACATGAGAAAATACTGCATCAGGGCTGCCACTGCGACACAAATACCCTGAAAATCAAGAGTAGACTGAGCTTTTTATAACTGTAACTGTTTTATTTCTATTTCGGGTAAATTTTTAAGAAGGATTCATTTTTAAAAGGCTTTTTTTAATAGCTTTCGACATTTTATATCAAATATAGCCTTTATTTTCCCCACAAGTTAATTTTTTATTAATCAAGTCTCGATCATGCCAACATGAAACATGAATCTGTTCCTTCATAAACGCCTGCTTCTTATGACAATTTCTCAAGCCCCCTCCCTCCCCCTTTCCGTCCAAACCGATAGTTGTCAAGCTGTGATCAATAATAATCACAAGAAGCATAAATCTGTTCAAATTCTCAAAAATGCGACTAGAGCCAACACTCCTCTTTTGAATTCACTTCCAAATAGCTAAAAAAGATTTTACTGACTTTGTTTTAAGTTGTACTTTTTAAAAAACAAAAAACAATAAACAATAAACAAAAACAATACAAAAACAAAACAAAGAAAAAAAACAAGCGTTTACCTTAACCTGTGTGGCATTTATCCCGGCAAGAAACATTATCTGGCCAAGTCCCAATGAGGCAACGAGACTTAACCTCACTTGAGACAGCGGCTGATGCACATCACTAGTGATAACGAAAAGAAATATAGACTGTATTGACGGTTAAGAATATATGAAAGTCATATATTTGAACTGCGGATAAAGACGTGAATGCAAGTGATCCTCGCAGTGATGTGCACTACTTAGGCAGTAGTGAAAATAAGGCCCGAAAAAAATTCAGGCCTGTACCGGATTTGAACCCATAACCTCTGCGATACCGGTGCAGCGCTCTACCAACTGAGCCAACAAGCCAACTGGGAGATGGTCATGATGGTGGTTCTAAATAAACCCGTCTATTCATCATTTCACGGATTTATTTAGAACCACCATCATGACCAGCTCTCAGTTGGCTTGTTGGCTCAGTTGGTAGAGCGCTGCACCAGTATCGCAGAGGTTATGGGTTCAAATCCCGTACAGGCCTGAATTTTTTTCAGGCCTTATTTTCACTACTGCCTAAGTAGTGCACATCACTGCGAGGATCACTTTCATTCACTTCATAGACTGTATTGATAGACAAAAATAGGAAAATAGATCAATACCATTTATATCAAGTAAGAAACTGTACAATACTATCAAAACTGAGAAGGAAAGGAACTACACTAGGAGAAATGAAAATAAAAATAAATAGGTCAGAGTTGGAGAGTACCAAGTGTAGTAAAATAATTCCATAACAGAAGGAAAAAAACATTTTACTTACGTGAGGAGAGCATAAGAAGCTAAAGTAAGAATTATTCCAATGAGCGACAAGATCAGTCCCACGTAAGTGAGAATCGTCAATATCTTCTCATCTTTTTCTGTCTATTTTTTCATTGTAATAACAGGGAAAAGGAAAGCAAAATAAAACTAATGAAGACATACTAAAAAAAATGTATATATATATATATTTTTTTCTTACAATATAAAATAGCACAACAGCCCCGTTAGTAAAAATGTTCTTCCCGGCTTTAAGTAAATATGATAACAGTGAAAAATCTGAAAACATATTCAAATTAACCTCAAATCTGGAAGGAGTGGGTAGTTATGTAACATGGTGATTTGCCATGATTATCATGAAACAAATGTTGTGGATTATGAACAGACAAACACCATTACCTCTGCTGTGTAGTCGAACAAAACTGCAAAGTGAGTCAGATGGTTGCAGCTGCACTCTGTGTACTCTGATTTTCTTTTAGATACGTGACATCCCTCATCTGACCACCCATCAATACTAAAAATAGGCGACATGTTAGCTTTTTACATGAAGCGACGAATATATGACATCTTCCCTTAACTATTTATTGAAAGTTTGGCTCTGCTGCTTGAAGTCATCAAATTTCATCAGCCTGTCATTTTAGTCGCCCATGTGCTGGGGTTTAACCAAGGAAAGAGTCATGGGGCGCATTTAGGTTCTTACGACGACTAAGCCCTTAGAAATCCCCCATCTTTTGAAAGATAGCATCTTATTCACTATGCAATATTAGAAAGATGAGCCAAGGAACATAGTGGCAGTGGGTGAGGAAGTTAAGCATTATAGCTTACTCTAAACATTGCATTATCTAGGATGGCCACCAAGGCATCCATTATATCAAAGTCTTTCAGAATAATCCAAAAAAGAAACAAAATGGGAAAACTAACCAAAAATAATTAGATACAGTGAGATAATATAATTGACGAAATTCTCACATGAAGGTGAAAAATGATGTGCCGTGAATCGACTGCCTGAGGCACTTTAATATTTTCGGACAGTCGCTAAACATGTTTTAGGTCATACAATGGAAACGTTCGCCGAGGACAGAAGTTTTAATTTAGTACTACAAAATACTGCGTGACTACCACAAAATAATCATGCTTACCGTTTGGAATCAAATCCTTTCCAAAACACACAATGCCTGGTTGCGTCAAGAGACTAATGAATAAGATACTGTTTCATTCAGCCCAACAGTTAATACTTTCAGGAAATCTAATCATCAATATAAAGTAAAGTATTCTTTCCATGTACCCATTTTTCGTTTTTTCAGTCGTTGATATATTTCATCATACATGTCATATAATTTCAATTTTATGTAGATTTCTTGCCTTTTGATTTCTAAACTTCATGACGGCATTTCTTATCAAAAGTGTCGGCTTCGGATCCATTGCGACTGCTATTACCAAGCTGTTAAGACGCCTGAATGATAAAGAAACAAAACCATCGAGTAGGGCTCGCTTTAAGAAACAATCCAATCGGATCAATAGAATTATCCCTTATGAACCTGTAAAAAAAATCTCAGGGTAGACGCTAGCCAGTGCACAAGAAGGAATGTTGCCTTTATCGGCTTTTTCACTCCCGAGCGGTTTTATTAGTTTAGTACCAGTCTTCCTCAGCTGCAATTCATGGAGGGCTAAAACTTATCATTTTCTTTATCTGATCATCATCACCACTATCTCTCGAAAATCATTGTCAGTGGGTCTTTTTTCTTCCTTCCGCCATCGCCTCTTTCATTGTAATTGTCACTTAAATGCAACAACGAAACGTTGAATACTATGAAGAAGAACGATGTGAGGCATAATATAATTCCTGATCTGACAGTTTTTAAACGCGACTATGCCCAGGAAGTCAAAGATTTTATGGAGATTTTCTGAATGGATGATTTTTAATCTTAATCAACATACACGTACAGATCATGTTACCTCCTTTTCTTTAAGTTTGCATTATTAAATTCTCTCATTCTTAACAGTTCATGTAGGCCTTTGAATATGATTCCGACAATCACTGAACCTTAAAGGAAAAACAGAAAAGCAATTCAAGATGTATCCGTGAGTTAGATGGACTGCGAGTGTATCGTACTCCCTGTCCAGGTAGATGAGATAATAAAAACATTTTAAAAGATACAATTACGTGAGAATATTGATGACTTTTTCGAAAGCTCCAAAACATTCAGCAATACATAACCCATCGTTATTTTCCTTGAATTTTCGAGAAGATTTACTCTTTAGAAAATGTCACTCGTCACATTGTTGGGATAGAGTTCTATTTTCAGTGTGTGATTGAACTTTACAAGTAAAAGGATCAAATACTTATGTTCTGGGCTATTTTGCTTCCCTCCTGCCCCACTCACTGATGGAAAAAAAACTATGGAAAGCTTCATAGATTAAATAGAATATTCAAGAAACCTTTGAAAACTACAACAATAGCGACTGCAACAAAAACAAAAGCATTTAGCTAAGTTCAAGATCAGAGTCAAGTTTGCCCCCGTCCCAATTTATGCAGATCATTTTATTAAAGCTCGTGGTAAAAGTTTTCTTCGCACATCAAAGTCAAATACCTACCGTTTCTATTAAAGTTATTGGATGGGATGTTAACAGTTTCATTTAATGATTCACCGAGGTGAAAGTCGTCCGAATCTCGTGGTAGACTCTTCCGAATATCAACTGTTATAAAGGAGGAATGGTGTGGTTTTAAAATACATAACAGAAATATCATAGAATATAATGAGAATAATATTAAATATTTGTTAAATTCAATCTGGGATATAACTATCATACGTAATAGGGTTCATCCCTGAACCTCCACATGCATTCCGCCACTACTTTTATGAGATCAATTATGTATGCCTATGATGAGTGTCTGTAGTACCAGCAGACTCTTAAAACTGATAGTGGTACGAATTAGTTACCAGAAACTTAAAAGAGGTTTTAATAGCTGAAAAAAAAACAAAAAAAAAGCTTAGTGTCCATCTTGGTATGACTTCATTTTTGTATATCATATAAGGTTTCCATCATACGCTATCAAGCGCAGTTATAGGATCATAATTATGTGTCCCACTATGACTTCATTTTCGTATGTCATTTAGGATGTTCAATTTCTTCTCCATTACAAAACATAACAACATTAAAAAAAACAGACAAACAACCTTAAGCCTACCACGTATTCTGTCATATTTCTTCCTTAACACTGGCCTTGATTCGTTGAGGTGGTACCAGCCATACTTCAGAGCAAAGGTCTGAAAGGCATCTACCGTTCTGTGTATCAACTCTATCCGTTTCCGCTCGGTTATAACATTTTTTTTAACTTCTGTAAAGGATATATCTTTGTACTTGGCCAGAGTATCTCGCAACAAATCGACGACGTTCTGCAAAAGGATGGAATGAAATTTAATGAACAAAGTGTTTCTTCACTATCATTACCTTAAGACAACTGCTGATGATTACTTTTCTGTTATTACTATTTTTTTGGGCATATGCTATTACGTGACGCCTCTAGACCAATTGCGTGCGAGCAGGAATATCAGATAGATTATAACCAACAGTAGGTACAAGGAATGATGATGATTGAGTAAAGTTGAAAATTAAAAAGGTTTTTCTAAGAAATTTAATAAATAGAATGCAAAACTTCAACATACCTGCAAAGAGCTACCTTGTTGAATATCTGTTTTATTCAATGCCAAGGTAAAATTATTTGTCTGTAGCAAGGATGACATATCAAATTAGTGCGAAAGAGTATGAAACAGATACTAAATGCTCGTCCATTAAAGTTATCTCGACACATCCAACTCACTGTTTTAAATTCTTGAAAGAATATGCAAAAAAGCAAGCAAAGAAACAAATAAAACAACAAACAAAACAACAAACAAAACAACAAACAAGAACCAAACAAACCGACGGAAAAAAAACAAACAAACAGAAAGAAAACCGGATAATACAGAGCAAAATCATCCCTAAGCAGAAATACTAGTGAAAAAAATAAAATACTAGAATAATAATTATAAAAAAGATAGCGATCATGACAATGATATTAATAATTATTATGATAAATTAAAAGTGACATATCATGAAAATGGTCATATTTGAAAATGAGTTGCATGTTACAGCAACTAGTGTGACACTGTGTATGCATGTCATCAGGGTATGTTTAAGCAATACCTACCAATTCTTCTGTTTTAGAGGTCTTTTTTGATCCTGTAGGAGGTTGCGGTGATGTAGTAGCTGTTTGTACTTGAAATATAGCTGGAAAAATAAGCTTATCATAGAGTTGAATCATTCTTATCTTTACGTATCCTTATACGGTGAGAACTTTGCTTAGAAGAGAGGCAATGGAACACTTTCAAACCAAGAAGTGATCAACCGGTATCTTCTTCAGAAAACTGCAATACACTATTTGCTCTAGAGAAGAGAGGACATCGTCTTTGCATTATCAACTCACTTGATAGAACCAAACTATCTTGCAGTACTCTCAACCAAAGCAGCACCTTAGTTTCTTTAGAAACCTATCCCCTTTATTCACTGTTCAATTATCCGATAACAAAAGCGAAGGAGTTATCAGCAAGAAAATGTCATTTACAAGTTGCAAGGAGGAGATGAAAGTCAGCTTTCTTCGAAGCTTCGAGCTTGATAGACCGTGACGATACACCATTTCAAAAAGGAGAAGCAAATCAAAAGGAAATTTCTCACCGTATATGTGAGTCATAGTAGCTTTGATATTTGTGGCTAGAAATACAATACCTTTTGATGTTAATACGTAGAGCTGTGCCACTTTGGATGCATTTGGAGTGGTCAAAGTTATTCTGACAAGGGTAAATGCACAGAGGTTCTTTTTGGATGCAATTATGTTGACACCTACATGCGATTATGTTTACATTAGTCGCTGCATGTCTGACAGCAAGTACCAATTCTGTCATTGCAAGTCTGATTAGAATTTTCGCTTGCTCCAAACGTATTGTCACCAAATCAAAAATTTTTAGCATTGCAAATTTGGAGACATTTGCTCGAGCTGCATTTCGAAAAACAAAAATTTACATTTACGTTGCAAGTCTGATTGCATGTTGTTCCCTTACAATCCAAATGACATGTATCTGCCTACATTGCACTTCGTTACAGTTCCTCTTACATGCGCAAATTACCTCGCACAATCTTTAAGGTTTTCAAAGCAAAATGTTTATTAAGTAGTCTGCCTGGTAGATGCAACCGTTTTGCGCGGGAGTGGTCTCGCCCAAAAAAATTTATGCCCTGACTCAGGGAAACCATACCAAAGGTGATTTTTTGGGCAAAATCTATCAGAATGTCTTCAATAAAAGAATTCGTCTGACAAAAAATAACCCAAGAAATTCACGCTCTTCAAACCGATCAGAGCACGTTTAATACGTTTTCGGTTTTGCTTAGGTCAGTGAGCAGATGGTTGAAAAAAACTGAATAAATGCGCGAGTAATTTGGGAAAAACTCGGAAAGAAACACTGAAAAAAAATTTAAAACTAAATCGACTTTTGGCCGCATTTTCCGATGGTTTAAGTTATTAATTCTCATCCGCAATGTTCTGCTACGTCTAATTTATTAGAATATGTAGATACAACGAATATGAGAGTTAAAAGAGTCCTTGATCCCTATGGCGAGAAAAAATTTTCGAAAAGAAAAAGTAATAATCTTCACAACAGAATCCACACTCACCTAACGAGGAGACCACCAACAGATATGCAGTAAATTTATGGAAATCATCCATTTGTTTTGAGGTTAATTTGTCGTCCCTTCGCCTTCAGTCGGACCAATAAATGTGTTGAGATCAGCGAGTTATCTAAAAGCAACCAAAATATTATTTCCGTATTGTGCGTATATATTATAAATATCTTTGGGATCAGTGCAAGATTGCTGTTAGTTGATTCTGAAAGAGCTTTCTCCTGTAAAAGAATGAATTTAGCTTACCTTGTTGTTTTTACGTCTGCAGTCAGGCTTTTATAGAGCTGTTATTTGTTTATGGCTTGAAACACAAAATTGATTGTCATGCAAATAAATGACATCTGGACGTTTATATTGCATTTTAACTGAAACGTCACTTAATCAAGGGAATTTGAATATTAGGATAGCAAAATAATTTAAATGAATGTTTAGAAACACTTTTCTAGAAGTCTTTAACTATCCATAAACTGAAATATTATCCTGGCAGCAGCCAACTTTTCCTTCGTTAAAGCCAACTGCACTAAAACCTTACCAACGCATTCAAAGAAGTGGTAACATGATGTTTTGATATATTTGTTGTCCATGTTCATTAAGAAATGGAGTAGTTCTCAATTGTCTCACAATTATTCGCCCTCGTCACAATTCACGCAGTCCTAGCTTAAAATGTGCGCGCTCCCGTTTTTAACCATCTGCTTTCTACTTTACTTGTAAGTTCCTTTCTATTCTACGAATACATAATTACTGAAGTCAGAATTAAGAAAACGCCAACAAAAATACATATATAGATGTTAGAATAATATAAATTGCCTTGCTTCAAAGGCATGACTTCTTCAACGTATGCAATATACACGCCTTTTTTTTCATTTACATCACACAATTGAGAAGATAACACAGTCGTCTTGGTAACCAGATATGCCAGCTACACCGGTCATCTTTTTCAAGAAACATGACAAAGTTAAATTATTTCATACGGTGCAATCGTTTTCGTTTAAAAAATTAGCAAAATAATTTGCGGGAAACAATTATTAAACGGTTGATCGTTTTGTCTCACGATGTAAAGTCGATTTATCATTTGCAGTTAATCGCAAGATAAACGATTAAACCTTCATTTATTCATATAGCCTAGATGAACAACAACATCTGTATGAAATGAGAAAAGTTGAAATACCTCTGCCTTTTAATTTGAAGATTTCGTCGTTCATCTTTTGGAGTAAAATTCAAACTGATCGACAAGAAAATTATTTCTCTGTACTTTGGACAATAGGTGTATATCCCGACACAGAACACATCTCTGGAAATAAGAAGATGCTGTTATTAAAAGAAAAAATGCCTAATTCAGAGTTATTGATTGGATTGCTCAAAAGCGCAGGTGAAGCTTTCAGGACCTTAATTAAATTCTCAGAAAGGCAAATAACCTTTTTTCATAAAATGATTGAACCATTTTAAATGTCATTCTGCTAAAATACAGTTGTGTAAACTATGATTACGGTCCACGTTCAGTCTCTAAGTGCCACCAAAAATAAATAAAATGGAAAAAGGAAATAATAATCCATTTTCCAGCTATACGTGGGAGGACTGGAGGCTTGCTTCATTATAAAAAGCTCCTTAGTTAGCAAAGTTTCTTTGCGGATGAAAAATATTAAAACGGGGTAAGTTTCTAAAGAAACTGTGGTGCTGCGTCGGTGGGAGAGTAGAACAGGGTAATTAAGAATTATCAACGGAGTTGGATTTAAATCGCTCAGACGAAGGGTTAACGCTCGAAACTTTTAACTCAGACTTTTAACTCCTTACGACGGCCAATTTACTTTATCAACTCAGTTGATAAAACTAAATTACCTTGAAAATGTCACATTACTTGTGGCTAAAAAGAAAATTAAAAATAGAGCTACTTTGAATCTTAAACTTCCTTGTGTGAATGCAAGACCGGAAATTGTTCCGCAAAATACTTCGAAAGTAGAGGACAGGAAAACTCTGACAGACTGCTTGAGCATTATTTTTAAGATCCTGAAATACGCATCTGCCGTAATATTTCCCTCCCCACCCTTGGTTTTTATATCGACGATAAGTTGCAATACCCCCCCGACAGACACAACGAGCTAATGTCACGTAAGTTGCTATTCCAAAGATTTATGTATGTAATAATTCATAAAGCTAAGCAAGAAGTGGCGCGAGACAAATTCTCTTTAATTTCATTCATGTATACATATTTCTCTAAGTCATTTCTGTATCGATTTTTTTTATTATCATTCATCTTAGAAATAATTTTTCCTGACGAACGGGACAGTAGAATATTCAGCATTCACAACGATGCGCTGGATCTGATATACTGACTCAGGACATTCATTGCAGAATATAATTCGAACCACTTTTTATCGTTAGTATTCCGTTCATATGCATCCAGATTTCTTTTGACATTTATTACTCTTAGATATATACCACTTTCTTGACACGAAGCATGAAAAATACGCAATAAGATACTAACAAATTAATAAAGTTTAAAATAGATATGAACTGCAGATTGACGTCGTATCTGTTACATATTTGTTTGTTTTTTCATTATTCTTTTGGTCATGAATTATTTTGATTCACATTCAATTTGAATTTATCAACGACATAGCCTTTGGCACCCAACTACTAAATAAATAAAGGAAAAAAAAATGAAAATGCGTTAGTTTATGTCAAATGATGAGGCACATGGGTGGATCCAAATTTTTCATTTTTAGCCAAAATATGCTTTTCACGAGTGCTGAAGATAAAAGACAAACATCATAATTATTCATTTATTATAACTTAATGTAGTATTATTCCTAGCATTATGTCGGATTCTATTTAAGCTAAGGCCCGCGGACTGACTTTTGTCGCTTGTGGCGTTGGCTTCAAGCTGCTCTAGCCACCTTTCAAAGAGACTATCGGCCATAAAAACAGACGCGAGACTTTGAGGCGAGATTTCATGATCGTACAAGACTCACGATTTTTCGGGTGCCATTCGCTGCTCTTCTAAATGTTAACTTATCTCAACACCTCCCTGCACTATAAGGACGACTTAAGTTTTCATGACATCATTATAATTAATGACTAACGATGTGAACCAGAACGACCTAACTTAACTAACGCATCGAGATTGAACATCGATCTACCGTCGTCAGCTCTATCATACTAAGTGACTGCATATTCCCAAAAGTCGATTGAATCGTTTCTTTTTTCCAAATAAAGAGCTACTCATTGAAAGACTGCAATTCAACTGCCCACATATCGCCGGCATCATTTGGATCAATTTTTGAGGTTTTCTTTCCATGATCCACAGTAGCTGGGAAAATGGTGTTCATCTTCCTTTTCAATCGCTCTCTAATCTGTAGATGTACAGGCGACAAAATATAAGTTACTGAGCACTCAAATCTTGATTTATGACAAAATCAATAAAATGTTCTTCGTGTGTATCCTCAGGTTCGTATCCGTCTCACCTGGCTGTTTCGCAAGCAGTGAAGGGCGAAAATCAGGAAACCCTGAAACAGAAAATTATTTCAAGATCAGGTCTTAATTTGTCGATTTTGATGAGCAGTGATAGAGGGTCGTATGAGATATTTGATGCAGTGAGTTTATCATCACGTATAGTTTTCTTATAAAACGTATTAAAAAGGGTGAAAAATTTATTAAAGCAAGTTGCATGTCTCATAAACCAAAGGATGATTTTTTCATATTGATTGGCTAATTGAATGCTCTTTGTTTCCAAGGTTTTTTTCACGAAAATATAATATGATGGATATGAGAGGATCTGGTTTTGGCTTATAAGTAGTATGAGCATTAATGTATTCATACAGACAACTGATAATCGACAGTTTTACTCATAAGCTCACCTGAGTAGAATTGAAGATGGTGAAAATGTAGGCGAAAGCTTTGTGTAATGGTAAAAAAAGACCAAATAGCCACGTAACGCCCAGCAGTGGAAACATCACTAGGCATGTTCTTACGCCAAGTCTGAAGATCAATGACAATACGTGACTTGTGGAATTAGACGTTCGTAGTTGACCTTTCAGTTGAAGTCGTAACGCCTCGTTGTTTATGATTAACTAGTAGGGAACCAACTGAATTAGCCAGATACCTCAGAGCTCGCTCCTATGACAATTCGTTTTCGTGTGTTTGTTTTTCCCTAATTGCACTCATTACAATCGTTTGGTCAAATGTTAAAGTTTAGATCCTACCGTATTTGCTGAATATGGTTGGCTTCTTCTATAGGTTGTAGAAGTGTGGTCATCTCCTTTATGACTCGGACCAGTATCAAAATGTTGAGCTGAAACAAAAAATTGGTACTTTTAATCATAAGATATCGTTAAATAGAAAAAAAAAATTATCTGTCTTGCCAGAAGCGTCGTAAAAAGGAAAATTGTGAATCCCCAATCCGAGTCTTCGAGTTACGTGCTCCGATTCTCCAAGAGAGACTAGACAGCTACAGCTAACATCAGAAATACTGTAAAAATCGTGTGAGTGATTAGTATTAGAAATATTGCAAACTTTGAGTATGGTCGTCGAGAATAGAAATGCGTTCTTCCTGGTACATTAAAGAAATAATGAAAATCTATCATTGGTCGACTTACACCTTCAATGAACGCCACAAATGCGATGAATATCCAGATCAGGTTGTCAGCGGAGGACAGCCAGCAGCTTGAAATGAGATGAGGACAAAAAAAAGATGGATTTGAACAAAATAGCTCCTTCAACCTCCTTGTCCCAAAACACCTTAGAAGCGAAACATTAGTCAAAACACACACGAAAAAAATGAGTTTATGTGAAAGACGGAAAAGACGGAGAAGGATAAGAGACTAGTAGAGAGGGAATTTCTTACTATTTATCACTGGTATAGCTTTGAATTTCCTCTTTTCCAGCAGCGATGCTTAATGAAATACCGACCATGATGATGGGTAAACCTGAGTATAAATAGGAGGAAGTCCACATAACTCATGGAATTACATATCCAATCAGAAGCGATTCAAAATGAGGAAGGTACCAATAACTCACAACAATTAAAGTAACGTACCCCATGAGATGACGTGAAACATGTGCATCTTTTCGGTGATGTTGTAAACTTTCACAACAAGCAGATAGAGATAAATTGCCTCGATCAGCATCCAACAGAAAGCAGCCATTAGGAAATACTGCGTCAGAGCTGCTACTGCGACACAAGCAGTCTGCGAGAGAAAAAATTAGGTTTTTTTTTTTACTCTCCTATTTACAAAATTTAATAAGCTTTAAAATAATTTTTTTTTTCAAATAAGGGATTTATAAATGACTCACCGTGTCTCTCGTGGAGTTTATCCCGGCGAGAAAGATTATTTGTCCAGCTCCGATGGCCACAGAGAGATTCAACCGTATTTGAGACAGAGGTTGATCAACATCACTAGTAAAAAAACCAAAATAAAAACAAACACACAAACAAACAAAACGAATCGAATAATTCTATGATAACGTATAATATTTCATGTCGTAGCAGATGAGGCAATTTAATTACTACTGCTACTGGAGAGGAAAAATTTTATCTTTATTTTATTCTTCCTTATCCATAGCAAATATAATCATTATCATAAAGATTGCTGCGACAGTTCTTAAAGGTTCAAAATTTGAGAAAGAAACTAGACATTGGTCATACGTTTTCATTAAAAAAAAAGGTACAGTTAACTCGTCAAAATGCGAGTCAACAACGCGCTCACATGACGTGTTTTGTCCACTCACAAGGCCATAGCGTCTTAACTGTCCCTTTAACTGTCCCTTTAACTGTCCTATTATACCTTCCAATTTCAAGCATGACGCACACATTGTCCCATTAGTGCTGAAATCGGGCTGGTGATAGCCAATTACGTGCGAATTTTCCTGGAGTTTTGATTAATCCTTAAATAGTCCACCTACAGTACTCACGTGAGGAAGTAATAGGCTATAATTGTCAAAAGTATCCCCGTCGTGGAAAGGCTTAATCCTACGTAAGTGATAATTTCCAGTATGGTTGTGTCCTTCTCGGTGAGCTGTGACACAAATTTCAATATAATAAAAAAGAATGTTACCAAAATCAAAGGGATTGTATTAAAAATGTTAAAGATACGATTACCTTAGGGCTACCGTTGTAATCGACTAAAACGGCAAAATGGGTCAAATGATTGCAGCTGCAAACTGTGTCTGGTAAGTGTTTTTTCGATTTTACAACGTGACATCCTCTCTCTGAATATCCGTCTGAGCTGCAAAAAAGAGAAAACAGAAAAAATACAAAAGGTACCTAATCACGCAAGAAATATTAAAGAAAAGCGGAACAAAAATAAACAATTATTTCCTTCTCCTACCGAGTTCAGAACCTAAACGCTTTTGTTGACTTATGATTTCGATTGTTGATATTTACACAAAATACTCCTTAACCTGTCTACCTGATTTGCCGCCAAGAAACAATTTACTGCCGGGGAAAAAAGATATATTCCAGTTCCTTACCTTTCACTGAAGCCACTCCAAAACACGCATTTCTTCTCTCCTTCATCAGCCTTAAAAAATACATTTTAAATCTTTAGAATAGACTTAACGCAGATAAACTAGTCTTAATTTTACTATCTCTGTTACCCTGAGATTTCTGAACTTGAGGATGACATTTTCTTGCAATGCTTCCGGTTTTGGATCCATAGCTACAGCTATTATCCTGGAGTCCAAATGCCTATGAAGAAAATTGAATATGAATGAAAACAGAAAAGGTTGAAAGTATGGTTATCATTGGGAATAAGGCAAGCTAAGACCCTTTTCAAATCAATGACAAATTCGCAGTTACTTCATAAACGATTGGCTGATGGTGATTGACAAGCAGAACACCAGCTGGGTTTTGACATTTTTTCAACATCACTTTTGCTGAGCCCGCAATTTTCTCTTTTTTATATGCAATTAAAGCTGCATTTGGTTGAGAAAATCAGAGAGAAAACGCCACCTTTCTTTTCCTGTTTTATCCCTGATGGGTTGATCTGTGAGTAGTACTTCGTGGAGATCCGTGTACACAATCCCAACAACCAGCGACACTAAAGGAAAAAAAAGGAAAAGGATATCGATCTCTGTGCAACTTGACAAACCAATTGCTATTTGGAAGGAAAACAAAGGTACATTGCAAATTAAGGGTTAAAAAAAGTAGTCAACACAAACCATTGTTCGCAAAATTTGCTGAGGAAACTTTTATGCTCGCTTGCAATTCTTGTTCTCCGAAATAGAAGTCATTGGCACTTTGTCGGTGGGCTTTTTTAAAAACCAGTACTGACGGAGAAAGAATAATGGATGGTTCAGCTCGTATTGAACTAAACAATAACATGTGAACGTACAAAGGCATTTCTTTTCTTTACCTCTCAAAAGTTATGGTTCTTTACGATCATAAAAACATCGACGAGAAGAGTTTTAAGAGGCGTTTTTTTTTTCCTTATTGAAATGTCTTCAAATGCCTTCCTCTACTAACGTAATTGAAAAACAAAAAGTCCAAGTCGGGGAATAGATTGACCAATTTGATCCAATAGTGACGTTTCTCAACAGATCACGTGTATAAACTGTCACATCATCTAAGCAGTTATCCATTTTGTGAACCACTCACCCACTCAGTAGATAGACAAGTGCTATATCACCCCTGATCTGAAAAGATGGTTGTGTTCCGACTCACCCATTTTGCGGCTTTTGATCACTTCTAAAGACCTCATCCTAATCAGGTGGTGCTTGCTATATCTGAGAGCATATCTCTCGAAGTTGACTGCCACCTTGAAAATTGATTTCCTTCTTGTTTCAGCCTCTTCAATGATAGCAGGTTTCGTGATGTTTTTAATAACTGTGAAGAAGTCCTCGAAAACTCCTATGGCCTCCTGTAGTTATATGAAATACTTTTTGGTAAGGTAATAATAAGACGATAATTACTTGGCGTTAATGCAAGTCAAAGAATAGATCTGAGTCTCTAATGAAAATTCCAAAAAGGGTAAAATACCTGTATAGAATTGTTTCTGGTGACATCTATTCTGGCAAGTTTAAAAACATATTCCCTTACCTAAAAAGGAGAAAGTAACAGTTACACTTATGGGCCAAAGACAAGCACAGGGGCTATGATTGAATGGAGTACGCACCAGCTTCTGAATTGTTCTCGACGGCGACGGCAACGGAGATGTTGAAGTCGGAGGGGACGGTAATGGCGATGGTGACAACGACGGTGATAACGAAGCACAAGGTGATTTAGAGAGTAAAAACGAGGACAAAGGTGTGGATGAAGGCGAGGACGTGAGTGAGGGTGAGTGCGACGGCAACAAAAACTCCAAAGGCGACTTTTTCGGTGACGATGATGACGACACTTGCGGTGATAGAGCCGATTGTGTCCATGTCGACATCAATGGTGCAGAGGGTGCAGCAGGTAACGGTGAGAATGATGATGTTACCACTGATATTGATAAATTTAGGGGGGAAAAAAGAATTTTTTAGCATATATAGGACATTCTATTGTAAAGAACGCATAAAACAGCTACAAAACAAAATAAGTTTAGGAATAGATGTTGACCGACCATCCAAATCTCTAAAAGAAACATAATACCTTCGATTAAAGCAAAGCCCATGACTGGAAGTATTTTCAATTACTGTTACTCCTGTTACTGATACAAATAGCAGGCGGGCAAACTATCACTTATAAACCTGCAATCGTTTTTACCCGAGGGTAAACCTAAGAACTGTATATTATGACAGTTATTAACTCTTTTCCGGGCACTATGGGCTAAAATGGAGTATTTGGTGGGCTAAGATGTATTTTTTTTCTCGACCAAACTTCATTCATAATACTGGATGCAAAAATTCATCTTGATTGTAAGAAGCTTCATAGTTTCATAGATGATCAAAATAAAGTGGCAATTTAAATCGATCAAGAGTTATGGTATAGACCTCCAGTCAATTAGCGTGAATTTCCTGAAGCTTTTAGATAAAGGCGTGTGTACATAAGTTTACCTATTTTTTTTATCAAATGTAAAGGAAACGCTACAAACAAACGGCTAGTTTTTATGTGAAGGTACAATAATCTATCAATAATAATACTGTATAGTAACATTATTTGCATAGCCAAATCTATTTAAATTATCATTGCTTTCAATGATGTCGCAAAATCAAAACTTATTGATATAACACTAACATAACCATGATTACACTTCACTTACAATACCATAAGTGGGTAGCATTTCTACTCATCGTTTCGTCTGATCATTTTAACCCTTTTCCGATTATGTTCGCAACTGTTAAAACTGGCATTTTACCCTCCCAAGAAAGCTGAACGCTTGCTGAAGCCATCTTGGTTTGATTTTTAGCAAGGGCTGGGTACAACCTAGGCAAACTAACCGCTGACCTGCAAGGCGTTCGAAGGCGCAACTATAATGGAGAGACAGCATATATGTGGAGAGCTTGGAGAATTTCAGTTTCCTGAAGTTCTTTAAAAGTGCTAGAACACAAACCGCAAGGAAATTCATTCTTTTGACAGCAAAAATGTTGATAAAATTGGCGGAAAATGTTGTGGAAAAGTGCCATATGAATTGCCATATGAATTGCTCCTTGAGCCAAAGTAGGCCAAACAAAATGCCAGCGTAATAGGGAAGGGCCCATTGTCAATCACATTGGCCTTACATTAAAGCTCCTAGCACAAAGCCACTTCTTTTCTAATATTAGTGAAACCTGCAAGATCCATAGTGATAACGTCTTAGCGTTTCAGGAATCCCCTGTACCTAATTACTCTCTTTAAGACAGTTGTAGTTTTGAATTACCTTTATGAAACTCACAAATGTAAGGAGAATCTGCATCCCTAGCTCCAGATTTGACTTGCATAAATCCATCATTAGACTTCCAAGAAATGGAAGCTACCTCGCCATCAGGGTTAGACAAGTTTTTTATCCATTGCTGGAAATTTAGTTGTCTTCCATTTACCCAAGTCCAATTGCCAGCTTTTTTTTCTAAGCCAATATGATAAAATGTATCATTGGACTTCTGAATCTCTTTCTTGATAAAATTCCGTTCATCTTCTGTCTCTATGGAAACCAGGTCTCCTCCTTGGCTTCGACAATAGTCTCTGCTCTTGTTCCATGTTCCTCCCTTCTCCAAAAATGTGTACAAACGGTTTTCAAAAGAAGGATTTGGGCATACTACAAATGAGCGTAATAATGATAATAATATCAATGAAAATGATATAAACAATAACATTGACAAAGATGTTGCTAATGACAATGATAGTCTTAATTATCGTAATAATAATGATAATGATACTAATGATGAAAGTAATAATGATGATGATCATAGTCAAAGGTGATTCTAAACAAGCGAGAACACGTGTCATAGAACTTGATATTTTTTCCTAATATCTATAGAGTATTTGATCGATCCATATCATGCAATACATCTCTCTCTATTTTGGCATTTTGCCTTCTTGAAAGTGCTCTGATTTTACCTACTGTGTCATGTCAGTGTAGATTTAAGAAATGTTACAGATAATGGACTTTGAATGATATACACGAGATACTATTATAAAGGTTGCCAGATGAATCTACGACGTCTTTCCACATAAAAGCATCACTTATCATAATCTGTGAATGAATTTTCGGTATTGAAGAAATCAGTCAGAAATCATTCCTTCTTGTGCATATATGATAAATAGAGGATATTAAATGGCCGCGTGGGGATACGAATTTTATCTCCTTGTGCCGAAAGTATCTCTCACGAGTGAGTGTGAGAAGATAAAAACGAAGATAAAACTCGTATCCCCAAGTGACCATGTAATGATCTGTTTATTTAATTTATACTAATGAAATTTCAAAAGAACCGGCCGCGCGCCTGAGCTGGAAGCTCTCTTGTAATTGGCTGATCATGTTTGTAACCATGGCGACACCAATATCCTCAAACATGAAAGATAAAAATAGTATCTTCACTGCACGCGATGAAGATATGACTTTTTAGTAAAAGGAAAATACCGGTATTTCATCAGTATGTGTATAATAAAATTGGATCTACATTGCTTCACCTGGTCCTTGCAGTTGCATCATCAAAGTAAGGGTAACTGCATAAGAGAAAACAAAAATATATATTGCTTACAACTAGAATACTATTATTCCAAACAAAATAAGACTATTAGAAGAAGCATTTCTCGAAAAGAGATATAAGGAGAGAAAACTGGATGGAGGGGAAAATAGGTTAGGAACGTGTGTTAATTCAATGATATCTAAAAAGAAAACAGAGAGAGAGTTAAGGGTTTAAGCATTTTCTTTCTCTTTTCCGAGCTGCTGCTGAAGGAATACCAGTTAGCTCTAAACTGACAGCATTTTTCTTTTATTTAACTGAATTTAACAGTTATTGCAGATTGTGTGTATAAGACAGTTGATGATGTCACGTGAACACGTCCCATGTTACCTAACCTAGACACCAGCTTATCTTGTACACCCCAACTCACTTTGTTACTTATGTTAATCATCTTCTTAATTGTGAGAATGGTTTTTTTGCGAAGTATATTACTAACAGAATATAAGCAAAAATAAAGAAGATCTTATGTCCTGTCCGAAAGTTGTAAGAAAAAGAGTAATATTGACGGCAAATCTTTCCCTCAGGATTTTCACACGGAATTCAATGAGCACGACGTGTTTTACAAGGTTTAGAGGAGCTCAGTTTGAACACATGAATTCCTTTTTTTAAACTTAATTCTTACCTTGTAAACTATAAAATCCTTATCGCTCTATGTACAAATCGAAAGCAACTTCAACTTTAAGTGGCAAGATCTTAACACGGGCAAGATCTTAACACGTTCCTTTGCTTCTACCATGCGAAGCAAGACAATGGCTGCGAAGTAACGAGGCAAGTAACTAACACGCAGCTTACGTGTTAAACCTAGTTCTTTTGATTTAGCGTGTGTACGCTCACCTTATTCCCTAAAATCCCGTGGGGGATTACATATAAGAAATTTAGGCATGCTCTAACCACCAGTTTTTCTGTAAATCTGAAAAAATCATGCCACAGTATTTCGAAAATAAAATCGGTGTTTCACTATTATTATTATTGTTATTATTATTATTATTATTATTTTATAGTGAGGCGCAAGTTCGCATGTCAGAAGAAAAGATTTACAGCAGAAATTTGAAGCTACATTTTTTCCTAGTCGAGAACGGTGTATTTTTACATCTGAAATATTTTAATTTTTCAAATTAAGCGTGAAAAATATCGTCATCTTAATATTACGTTCTAAAGTTAGGTTGATTACATGAGGACTTTGCCTTCGCAAATTTGTTCTGAGCCATCAATAAGTCGATAGGAAAAGTAGACGGCAAATGATATGAAGAAAATGTGTACTCCTATAGGGTCTAGAGGATGCCAGTCAAAAAATGCATTAAAAAATTCGCTTCCAAAAAGCAGAAAAATGCTGTTCATAGTTCGAATTCAATCAAAGTTACACAGCATTATTGCAAAAACAATGAATATCATCAATTTGAACATTTTCGCCCTCGATATTTTGACGATTTATTTTATGACTTACTATTCTAACCGGAGTATTAAACTTTTCCGTTGCACATTCACTCAGCTTCAGATCTAAATTTTAGTAAAGAAACTTGAAGTAAAATCTCTCCACTACTGCTGATTAACATTCGTCTCGATAAACGGCAGATAATGGCGTTTTAGCTTCCGAATTGCTAACAGGCTCGTTTCTGTACGGAATGTAATAGTGTCTTCCTTTTGCATGTGTTCCTCGTCAAGACAAAGCAGTAATGAATTAAAAGCTTTACTTAATATATCATTTAAACTGCATGCGAACAATTGTTTCCTGGCTAATCGTTTTCCAATTTTATTTTTCCTCTTATCAGAATTTAGAATAAACATTGCGAAAGGCTCGAAACCCCAATTCAATTATTTTCATCGCTTTCGTAGTGAAAGTAATCATGAAAATTTTCAGAGAGGTACATCAGGGCCACTTGGCTTTATGCTTCTCAGTTTTGGCTAAAGGGATTCATGATGTTTGCATCTATCTGAAATATCTCAGATCCCTGTTTCATCGTTCACTTCTCGCGTAACCAAGAGATGTGATAAAGCTTTTACTTACTCAGCGAAAGACGTAGAGACCGGTCTGTGAACATTTTGCCGGATTGGAGCTTACTCATCGCCCAATTTATCGCGTTACCATAAGAAAATGTCGGTAATCCAATGATGGCTCGAGACTTGGTAGCAGCACATGTATGGCACCCGCAAATTTTTAACGAACGTTGTTCTCTTTGGCAGGAGGTTGAATGTTATAGACAGCTCAAAACTCGATTGCTCTTTCCTTACGTGAGTAACTAGTTGTTTTTTTTTTCTAAATGAACGGACCAATGGCCTTGAGGTTATTTTCACTAGGTGCAAAGCGCTGTTTTGTTTTTTTCCTTTTAAAAACTAATTTATGAGCCTTGTTTATAAAAATATTTGCCTTATTCAAATCAGCATCCTGCCAACCGGAAGCAAGTGCGAGTATCTCATCTGTTCATCAGCACGAATGGAAATAATCATCATCTCTCCTTCAAACAGATGAAGCTCTTCGATGAAAGCGGTACCTTCGTAAGAGGGAATGATTCGGTCACATGTACATGCAAGTGTGCTTATTAAAATCTACCGTAGAAGGGCAAGAAATGTCTGTGAACTAGGTCTATCTCGTAACTTCTAATGAAAATTAAAAATTCCTTTCTCGCACTTTGCTATAATTGTCCCACTTTGTAAAAACACTTATCGCACTTTTTGATTAAAAAAGCTCTCGCATATGACGGACCAACACACTTTATAAAAAAGTTAGCTGACGCGCACTTGTCATACCTTATAATAACACTTGTCGTACTTTGCAATAGCACGTCATACTTTGTAAGGACACTTGTCATATTTTGTTAAACACTTGTCGTACTTTGCAAAAAAAAACCCATTGTGTGCAGTGTTGTCATGGTAACCTTGTCATATCATCCATTTTGGTGACGCTGTCAACCAATAAACTCTTCAAAATTTCTCGGCTTATATTATACCATATGGTCTGTTATTGCAAAGTGCGACAAGTGTGATCATAAAATACGACAGGTGTTGCAGAGTGCGACGATTTTTACAAAGTGCGAAAGAACAAAACTTCCGATCACAGTCCTTTAAGGCGGTTTTGTCACTATTATTTTTTGGCTTGTGGAGACGCAATTTATTCTGAAAAATTTATTCCAATACCTTGCGCAAGCAAAAAACAAAGGAGAGCTTTTTTCGACGAGGTGTCAAGAGGAGCGATCTTATCAGAAGTAAGTTTAACTTAATTTTCAGACTCGGCCTCCATGAAAAGCAGTTTTTATTTTCACTGCTTGAAGCGCAGGAAAACGCGCATGACTTAGTCGTGTTCGGTTTAAGTTTGGTTTCTGATTGGTAACTGTCGGTCGATGCTTTGTATCCCACGCTTTTGACAGGTCTTACCTGATCAGAAGTAAGTTTAAATAAATTTTGAGACACGGCCTCCATGAAAAGCTGTTTTTATTTTCGAGGAATTTTTTAAATTTTTGTTGTTTTATTTAGGTAGATAGTTTGGTATCTTAATTGGACAAATGGAAGCACCGTGTATATTAAATAAAGTTATCGTATCGCAAGCGGCACTTAATTCATTTCTACAGGGAGGAGGTGAAAGTGTAGAAAATGTTTTTTAAGATGAGACTCAAGGAAGCAGGAGCTTAGTAAAAAAAAATAGAAATAAAAGATAGACCACAACTGTCAATAGCGTGGGATACAAACCATCGACCGTCAGTTACCGATCAGAAACTAAACTTAAGCCGAAGACGACTTGGTCACGCGCGTTTTCCCGCACTTCAAGCAGTGCGCCTGGTTTTACTGCTTCTCGTGATAATTTTTTTTTCTGATTGGCTTTTATCGTGGTTGATTCTTAATCAGAGAAAGGCTACACTTAAAAAAAATTCCTCAAGAAGTTTCTTTGTGTCACGGTTTATTAACTTCAAAAGTCACTTGTGTTTAAAATTGTTTGGTAATGTATCCCCTGTTCTTTGACATTTTGGGCTAGCCTAACCCTAAGAAATTTCCTCAAAACAAGGCTAAAAACAAAACAAAAACGATGAAAAAATAGAATAGAAAAACCTGGAGTTACTCTAGAAGGTGTGTAATCCTCGTATCAATTCAATTTTCCTGTTATTGTTTCAATAAAGAACTTTCCTGAGGGTGACTCAATTATTAATTCTTAGTAAGAGTCAAATGTTAGTCTTTCATTTATGCTTTGTCGTGGAGCCTAGAAGACTATGCGTGGAGTCAAAACAACTCCGTAGTCTTATTAGCTGAAAAAATGATTTACGTGTTTTGTGTCCTTCCATTCACTCTGCCTAAAGAAGTTAAACCGTCATTTGAAACTTCTAGAGGCATCCAGTAAGATGAATGATTTGATAGTCAAAATAATAGACTTCTGGAATTAAGAAGGGAAATTTTACGTAATGCAAATCAATGGACCAAATCGAAGCACATTACCGTGTTCCGTCATGTGGTTCTGGCAAAGTTTTCCCACAATTTGAAATCATTAAAAACCAAAGGAAGATGATTGAAAAAAAACATATCATAAACGTTTATTCTGCCAAAAGGACAGGTGTAGTGAAAGTGAAATGCTTAGCGTGTGCATATTGATGCACGCGGAAAGTTTGGAGATCACGAAAGTAGCATAACAATTGCCTGAGACGAAGCCGAGAGCAACTCTAGCCTCTTTAGTGCTCTCCAAGCTTCTCAAGTGCGTCAATAACTCGACATTCGCACAGCTAAAAGCGTGCACTAATTCTTTTATAACAGAGCGGACAAAATTTGTGCATGAGAAACGAGTTCTAATACAATTGAGTCAGATTAACCCAAAAACCGTGAATAAAAGGGAAGGCAAATTGACAAAGAAATATTTCGAAACCAAAGCTTTACTCAAAGAAATTCTAACTTTCCTGCTTCGCGGTGAAAACCGTACGAATTTCTTGCATGTGCGAGACCTGCGTAATACACTGATGAAATTCACGGAAAGGAAACTGGCTACTGTAGCTTTGTGTTGAAAATTCTGAAAATTTTATGATTGAACCTCGCTTCTCGCTTCGATTCTTGGAAACTTTTCGAAGATCAAATGTAACTTACTCTTTTAATATCTCATTTCTGGCCAGTTACAGTGAGTATTAAATACAGTTAGCAAATAACTAGTTAAAAAAACTGCAAATTGCGCACAAACAATATATATATATAAAAGTTTACAAACAAATATATTTTGTACAAAACACAACTAGCTCGAATTAACAACGCAGTAGCTACTTACTTTGTTAATGTTTTTGTTTATGTATTAGGGTAGGTGGGAGGCTTATTTTTAGAAAATTTTTTCCCAAATAACTCGAAGTAAAATGCTTGGGCGTCATATAAGAGAGGATAGCTTTCTCATAAGATTGGATGGTGGCCCGTACGGGTATGGTGACACCCCCTCAACCCCTCCCCCCTTTCCCGGCAATAAACAGTTTTAAATTCCATTTCGTTAAGGAATTGCCATTATTTGAACCGTCTTATCATACAGTGTTACAGTATCTTATCCAGTTTCCAGCCATACGTTATACGTCTACTTTAAGTATTGAGCCTTGTGCAATCTTCCATAGCCACCTCCCCCCTTCCCCGTATAATGAATTAGGGACCTTTAGCAGTTAGGACAGCAACGCCAATGAACGGTATATTTTTAGTTGGAACTTCGCGAATGGCTGGATGTGTTTACGATCTCTTACGGTTCCGCAAGTTAACCATAGAATAATGCATGAGAGAAACGTTGAGTTCAATATAGAAACTTGACTAATTTATCGTCGGGGTTTCCTTTCTCAGACCACGCAGATGTTTACGAGTTCACGCTATCATTTTGCATAGGACGGCGAGGAAATGAACACAGTTTAAAAACGCACGTGCTGAGCTAATGTTCTGCTCATTAGATCCTTTGTTTAGCCTCGTTCTCGTTGCCGCCGCCGTCGTGGTTTGCTAAAGGTCCCTAATTGTTTTGCACACCCAAGGAATCATGCAGATGTCTATTCGAATCAGGAAAAGAAAAGGAATCAATAATTGATGCATCTAGAGACAGTCATATTAATTTCTTTAACGAACTTTCTTTTATGTTGATAGCTACACACAAGAAAATATTCAAGTTTTGTAAAAAGCAGCTTTACTTAAAAAAAGAAAATATATAACTTGGAGAGGGCATTTTTTTTTCCAGTGCACTGGTAAGATATTAAAATACCCTCGATCTCAGAAAGGCCGGAAACTGAACACTGTAGTGTAAGAAGCAAGCGATGGTTTTGTGCCCAGCAGCAAACCAAGCAGAATCTAGATGATGCCTTGTCATAAGTCTGATGATGATAATTTTAAAATAATGCGCAAACACAAATTTTTAACTCTTTAAGACAATTTACTTCGAAAACGTTCCACTGAATAGATCAAAACATCAAAGAAAACTACGCATCCGAAAAACCACCAGGTTTCTTTACAGGTTACAATTCAACACGCGTCACGTGATAATCAAGAGATCCGGTGACATTACACATGCGTTACATTTCGTGACATACTCTACTGCTAGCGTTACATTTCGAGAAATTCTACAATGATAAACTCTAGTAACAAGGGTTGTTTTTGAACAACATGAAGCACTTCAGAACACATGCGTTGCATTTCGTGACATACTCTACTGCTAGCGTTACATTTCGAGAAATTCTACAATGATAAACTCTGGTAACAAGGGTTGTTTTGTAAACAACATGAAGCACTTCAGAACAATTTTTTTGTGATATAGCAGTTGATTTCAACATATCAGGGACGTTTAGCAAACTACGACGGCGAAATTCTAACTAAAAATATAAATTCAATTATGAATATATACTTTTAACGTCCCCTTGGCAATTTGCCGTCCTAACTGCTTAAGGTTCCTATCATGAGAGACAGTGCTTATTGTGAAGCCCATGGGTCACAACATTACTATAATTGTTATCTACTTATCGTTATATATGCCAAATCATACCTTCACTTTGATTGGTTCTCACGATATATTGGAAGACAGATGCATAGATGACATCACCATTAAAAGCATTTTGCTATTTTACCATATTCAAGTTGCCACAGATCACAGATGAAGTGAAACATGGTAAGAATATAAGTGACACACTTCAGTGCACCACTTGTACGAAATTTTTATTCTAACCACACCTTGACATCATCTATGGTCTATAACTGAAAAGGCGCACAGCAACATGGAATCTATTAATTAATACAAGTAACTGCATGTACACAATTAGCATGATGCACCACTTGCTTGTTGGCTTTGTCCAACGCCCTCCATCAAGGGATCAACTTCATACTACAGGTGAAAGGAGGTCATAATCAGAATTAGTATTAAAGTTAAAAACTTGGATTGCTTCTCAACATACATTACTGTAATAATAATGATAATAATAATAATAATAATAATAATATCATTACTATTATTATTATTATTGTTATTATTTCAATGTCTCAATGGACAGGGGTGTATTGACATATTATTATATTTGTTATTACAGTATTATTACAAATACAATATAACATCAAAATACATTGTCACAATAGCCTTGAAAAAATGACTAGTCAATTGATGAGTTGCACATTTTTGATGAGTGATTGATTTCTTACAACCACTCTCAGATAATGAATGACACTTCTGTAACTCTGATTGCAGGACTATGATTATTTTAGATGTTTCATTTATGTTTGATGTATTGGCAATTAAATATTGGTCCTGACCATCCTGTGTAATGACTGATTAGATTAATAATTATGCAGTTTCATAATGAATGTCATTAAATTGCAATTCCATGAAGTCAAGAAATGAGTATCACAGTTGAGTTGCAATTTTAGCACTTGCAGAGAAAAAAACCCTGAAAAAATTCTGGTTTTGGTGGGATCCAAACCCATACCCCCAGATACTATTTAATGATTGAGCTACAAAGCCACATGATGGAAGAGAGGCAAATTTCAAGAAGGTTCTTCTTTCCCCAAGAGGCATCTCTAGAATATTTGCCCACTCTGTACCTATCTGATAACAATTTTAATGAAATAAATTCCATCAGATTCCTCCACAGGGAAGAAGATTGAGAACCCTCTCAAAATTAGCTAATCACAGCTCAGTTGTGGTAGTACCCAAATACATGTATAAGCTGGACGGCAAAGATTCAAAACTCATCAAAGCCTGATTTTTTCCTAGGTTCTTTTTTGCATATACCAAAAATTTCCATTCACTTGCATGGATCCTTTCAGTTCAGTTCAACTTGTTCTTGAAGATTTTATATTAATGTTTATTTCCCTCTCGCCTTCAATAGCTTTGCTATTTTGCAGGTAGGGATAGTGTGATATGCATCTTAATTGCTGACTCAGAGGTACATAAATTTTGTTGTTTGTTGTCCTTATTGATCATCACTTTACTTGATATACTAACTATGTATCAAAATCTTTGTCAATGAGCTCTCAAATGTGAAACTTACATCTTCATTCTTGTCCATTGACTTTTGATCATTGACAAAGCAGAGGGCGGCAGACCATAAAGCTGCAATCATTTCCAGCAAAGTGAATGCAAAGATGGAACCCACAAGGGCATGCTCCTCATTGTAACGAGCATCAACAGCAAGAGGTGCTTTAGCAGCGGTGAAGGAGTTGTCATCAAAATCACGGTTGCCAGAGGTATAATATAGAAATGACCTTTGGCCTGCCACAGCCAATTCCAGCCCATAATTAAACATGATCATGCTTGAGAGAATACCACACACCAGGGAGAAACCCATCAATGTCATTGCCTTGAAATATAAAAATGGAGTTTGTAGAAGTTTAACAACTTGAGTACTGTGTGTTTACACTCTCTAAATATTTAGGAATTCCATGGCAACCACAACAGATAAGCAAACATTTCAGGACTTAGTTGTTTAAAGACCCATTACTGCTAACCCAAGGTTAACTTTTAATCTGAGTTTCTTTTTTCCAAATTCCTTTTCAGCATTTTTTTAGTTTTTTTTTCTCTTTTTTCTTAAGAGCATCCAATAATCAAGTTCTTGACAAAAACAATTATACTAAAGTTTCTTTTCAAGCTTTCAGATCTGAAATCAGATTTCACAAGAACCTTTAGTTACATGTATCTTGACCAAGCTTTGAACAACCCAGCCCTGATAAAAATACAAAATAACCAAATAAGTTTACACTTGATGTTAACCCTCTAACTCCCAGAAGTGATAAACATGTAACCTGCAATATCTAAAAATTATCCAGCAAACAGGTAATGAGAATATTCAAACTTATCAGGTACAAATTGTTATCCTGATCCAACACCAAATTCTTGTAACTTATTTACAAGGAAATGTGTAGCAGTTAGAAGGGAGAATTAACAATCAGATCTTGGGGAGTTAAAGGTTTAAAGAATCTCTGGGTAACCATTTAGATGGCATGCACAAAGTACAAAATGAACATTTGAAACTAGCATTAACAGTTACTAAGTGTTGAAGAAGTCTATCATGGTAACCACATTGAATACAAGAAGTTAATTATAAGAAACCAAGTTCTCACTCACTAAAAGTTAACAAATCTTAAGGTAACCACTTTCATCAAAACTGTGATAAAATTATTGAACATGACTGGTTATTACCAGTGCAATTTGAGCACTAACAGGATGGTGCATGTGTCATGCTTGTAATTGGACGGTGTAATATGACAGTTGACATATCATGCTTGTGTAAGTGAGCAATAAATGTCATGTGCATACAGGTGCTGTTGTCATGGATTTTTCAGTGTAAGTTGTTTTTTCTTTTATGAAAACCTTTAACCAGTGCCCATAGTTTCTTTCACCCAATTCTGTCCGTAATCATACTTGTGATTAACAAATTGGACTCCCATTGTGCAGTAATCCGATTTTGTAATCACTTGTATAATTACAGACTGAACTGGCCTCCACTCAGTCCTATTACCATTATAAATGGCATGAGCAAAGAATAAAATGAACCTTACATGTACTACTAAAATGTAGAGGAGGTCCATTGGCAACCACAATATATGGAATACATGTACATCAAGTAAAAAATGATCAGCTACAAGATAGGTTTACATCACGGCAACCACAATATATGGAATACATGTACATCAAGTAAAAAATGATCAGCTACAAGATAGGTTTACATCACGGCAACCACAATATATGGAATACATGTACATCAAGTAAAAAATAATCAGGTACAACATAGGTTTACTCTTACTAAAAGTAAAAGAATGTCAAGGTACAAAACTGTAACCACTGTACCTGGCAAACATGAAATACCAATTGAATGTTTAAGACTTGTTTGCAGTCTAAATAGATTTTGAAGAATTCTACACTTACAGGTATAGTCAAACCACATTAAATAGCATAAATCAGGTTCAAAATGAACAATCAAGTTTAAACTTACTAAATATTGAGGAATAGTTACCACTCCCTGTGACTTTTGCAGAAATTTAAAAGTTATCAAAACACCAAATGAACCAGTAAGAGCAACCTGCAGATGAAAACATAGGAGGTGCAGAATTCAGAAATTTGAATCTTGTCCAAAAACTGTAAAATTGAACTGCTCAAAATTATGGCAGATGATTAGAACTATTGTAACAGCTTTTTTTCCTGTGCAAAAACAGAAAATCAGCAGGAAACAAAAATATTTTCAACTTTTAATCCTTTACACCCTGACATCAGTATGCATTTTTTCTTAACTGTTCTCTAAGGTGCTGACAAGGAAAACTTTCTTAGCAGTCAAGAGCTTCTTTAGTTGGTGATCATTTCCTTTATTCTCATAACCTTAATGTGTGATTCAGGGCTGATATTGTAGGGAGAAATTAGATGCTAGTCACTCTTGGGGGGCAGAGGGTTAACACTAGCTGAGTTAATTACACCATTGTTTACTTACTGGCGATATTTCAACATTGACTTCTACTTAATCTCGAGGTGATTCCTCAGTATTGCACTGCGCATCTTGTACTGTGCATAAAAATCATGTAATCAGGTGAATAAGCACCCATGCATTCCAAGAAAACTGTATTGTTTTCAATGAGTGAAACCAGGTAAAGACATCCAATGGTCTTCACATGTAGTTCTTCAACAAGCACAGTGAGCTAAACTTTTTATTGTAGAATTGTGGTGGAATATTTTCCCCTTAAATTGAAGAAATTTTTAAACATTAATCACAGGGAAAAAAGATAAAGCTAAAAGCATGCATGAAGCTTGTCACTCATGGATGCAAATTTTGACCTTGAAAGCCACAATTTAAGGAATGTTTTAGGTCAATGACCATTTAAAATTGCGTGATTTCTCCAAAAATTATATTTCACATTGTTCTGCACACTTAAGACTTTCTACCCATGAAGTTTTTTTTTCTTAAGTGTAACTTTTAAATCCCTAGCCTCTAGCTACAGCAAAATGTACTATGAATCAATGAAATGATGCATGGGATTAATGCAGTACAAGTTAGGCCGGCATCAAAATTATTGTCTCTTAATCCTTCAACTCCTATGAGTGATCAAGACAGAATTTCTCCTTACAATATCGATACAATATCAAGCAGACAAGTGACAAGAATAAAGAAAAATATCAGTTAGGGGATTAAAAGCTGATTCAATACCAAATTCTCCAAACGAACATCAAGAACTGTATGGCAGACAGTAAGGAGAATTACTAATGAGATCATGGGAGTTACAGGGTTAAACAAGCAGGTGAGTGACCTATCTTTTTTATTTAATCTTTTAAAACAGAAAATGTAAGGAAAGTTTAAAAAAAATGGTCGAAAACTTTTTTTTCAGAGGAATCACCTTGGATACCTTATCCTGTACAAGCACCGCCATAGCTACCCCACTTACCCCACACAGGGGTGGTTGGTTATGTGACAAATACATGTACATTCAAAATCCATGTTGCATTATTGGATCTATGATCCCATTGTATTATCCATACACTACACTGATTATACTACACTGAGAGGCAATGGGGGCGATTAAAGCTCAGTTCACTAAAGAAGGGACAAACTATGATCACATTCAGTGAATTTTGGCGTCCATGAAGTCCAAATTACCCACAGAAACATATCTAAAATCTATGTGTCGTCTGTCATCAAAGTTAGAGTCTCTTATGAAAAAAACTTGGGTTTAAATAAAATAATCTCATCCAGGATACAAACTGTTCATCTAAATGTATTTCTTCCACGATCTCCCATATGTATACACCCCCAAGTAGTCCTGTCAAAATATCTTTAATCGATCAATCGTATCTCGCTTTCTTTCAGGAAGGTTCGAAGATATAAAAGGAATCTAATTTATGCTTCAATAACATACTATATGAAATCAAATAAACACAAACTCAAATATTTGATTACAGGAAAAACCTCACAACGTTTCTTTTGAGGACAATTCGCCAAGATATCGTGAGCTAGGCAATAAAAAACGAATTTGTTTGCATACCAACACTCCAGTCCATATGGGCATTCCAAGCCCACTGAATCTCCATTTTACCCGCACAATTTCTACGATTCCGAGCACTATCAGCCACAAAGATAACCAGCATTGGATCACAGACAAAGCACGGAGGAGTTTTATCTTAATTGTGAGGGGCATTTTAATCGATCGATCAAGACTACGAGATCGAAGCGTAGAAACAGTACTCTCTGTATGTATGTCATTTACTCCGATGTTTGCCCAAATCAACCGCTGACCTTGTTAATTTATGAGGGGTAGGGTCAGATATTTGAGCGTCTCATAATGCCTACTCAGGCTACTCAGCCTGCTTATACTCCATTTGTAAATAACAACTATTTAGAGCCCCTTGAACTCTCTCCCTCCTATTCCTGCCAGCAACAGGTGAAACCAAGAGATTATTCTCAGATAGTCCAGCCCCCAAAATAGTCGATTATATCCGTTAATTCTTCCAACCTTTTCCTCAGAGGGGTGGTATGGGAGAGATGGACCGGCCACAATTTTTGCTCTAAATTACTCAAGGGAGCTCCCTCATTTTGTAATGACAGATTCAAGGGAGTCCCCTCACTGGAATCTGTCATTTTAAATTAGCGTTGTTGTTTTGTTTTATTTTGTTTTGTTTCTGTTTTTGGTTTTGTTTTTATGTTTTGTTTTGTCTCGTTTGTTTGTTTTTTTTTTTTTAATCGTCTTCCTGTTTAATTCTTTTCTTTTTCCTTCTTACTCATTTGTTTGTATTCACTTGAAACTTGGAAATCATCAAGTTATTGGCCCGAAATTCATTTTCATCCAATATCAATTGGTTTTATCATCTGATGAGATAAAATATATCGGCCCTTTACCAATTTCCAAAATCAACTGAGTAATTTTGAAAACCAAAATTATTATGCAACACCACCCACCGACGCAGCATCAAAGTTTCTTTAGAAACTTATCGCCATTATTTATATTCATCGAAGTTGAGGACATAAGGAATAATCTAAATTTAATTGTAACCTGGCTACCCACACAGTCAAGACATTAACAAGTGTTACACGGGAGAACTTTTTTTACTGATAACTTTGAACTAAGTTTCCTGTATCACCTACGACATGGCAATAAGAAACAAAGCGCTTTTTCACAACAGCCACTCATAGCAAGCAAAATATCATAGGGAGCCAATGAGAACTCGAAATTAAAACAATCAAACTGCAAGAGGCGCGGGAAAACGCGGGCGACCAAGTCGAGGTTGGTTTTAGTTCTAAATCTGATTGGTTGAGAAAGTGGTGCGTGTTTTCTGGACCAATCACATCATGAAATGAAACAAGACTTAAGCAGTCTCAGATTTTTCCGACACTCATTTGAAAATTTTGCTCTATTACGTAATCGAATTAGTTACAACTACAGTCATACTAATTACCTGTACATTTTACTCAAAGAGACTGATAAGCGACTACTAAAAATTTTTTGCTTCTCAGACAAGCGAGAAGTCTCGCGTTTCTACTCCCTCGCGAAGAGTGGTGGTGTTCTTGTTGAGTGCTAGCACTGAAGACGTTGCCACCCCTCCGGAATTCTGATTTCACCTGACGACGGTTTTCTTCTATTTCAAGCTCTCGTTAGATATATTGGAGAAACTGGTTGCACTTGAATGTATTCACAGATATTCTTAATCAAAATATCTTCGGTTAAAAGGGGATGATAATACAGAAAACTCAATAGATAAAATTATAAAATTTTCAGAGAAATGCGCGCGCTGTGATTGGTCATTGCGAGCTCATTGTATTTCTATAAAGCACGCGCCTTACGTCACACGAGTGTACTGTTGAGATACAATACACGCAGCTTACGTCATCGGTACGAGCCCGCGCAATTCACAATATATTTGATAACAGAAATAAAAAAACTTGTTCCTCGAGCGTTGTTGACTTATATAAGCACTTGGGAATTATTAAGAACACTCGAGAAGTGCTAGAAGCACTCGCCTTCGACCAGTGCTTCTCCACACTTCTCTCGCGTTCTTAAAATTCCCGCGTGCTATTATAACTCAACAATGCACTCAGCGCGTTTTTTATTTCATTAATGAATGCAGATAATGTCACGCAACAAAAAAACGCATCGGGCACGAGACAATTAATTCTGGCCGGCGGCGCAGTTGTTAATGAATGATCTCGCAATCAGTCTATCCGTGAGAAACTGGTCACACAAGAATGTAGTTACAGATGTACTTAAATTTTAAAAAACCTTCGGTTAAAGGATATAAAAATGCATGTACTTAATCCAATGAATGTAAATAATGTCACGCTACAAAAAACCCAGCAGTCAAAGGTTGGGCATGCGCGAGGGGATCAATTCTGGTCGTATGAGCGCCAATTTCCCGCGTTAAACTGCGATGTAAAAAAATAGATAAAAGTCAACTGAAACGTTCATAGAAATCTGTCGAAGGAAATAAAAGCAAGGAGAAGGAAAACTCGAGACTTTTTGAACAAGACATTTCCGCGAGGGGAAGTACCCTATCGATTTATCATTTTATTTGAGTTTTGTCAAAAATGTTACTTGCTTTTCAACACTGCGACTTACTAGTTGTGTGGTTGTTTTTAAATCGCGTGAGACAACATCGTTCTGACCGCCTGAAAGCACGGCTCTTATTCATGGAAACGTTGGCACATGCGCAAACTTGTGACCGCTGTGTACTTTGTAGATCGGCATTAAAGCTAATCCATGATACTCTCTTCATACTTGACCTCCTTTTCAAGATCTTCTTCAGGAGAAATTAGCTCTGTCTTCCAAATATTTATAGACTAGGCGAATCCGCACTGTTTCTGATAAGTGGTGGCTAAAGCATTTGAGAATCCAACTGAAAAATTTGTAAAGAAGGTCATAGGTCAAACAAACAGCTCTTTAGCAACTAAACTGTAACAAAATCGTTCTGTGCGAATGTCTCAACATGGTGAATACGCCTAGCGGTTAAATTTTGACCATTTTACCGTTAATTTCATTCCGTTTCAATTGAAAGAAAAAAAATTTACCTCCAGCTGTATATCACAACTATAGCTACTAAATACATATTTAATGCAATGTCCTTATGGCGAACAGCTTGCCCTAAACAAGTGCTTATGCAAATCCTTACCGCAAAAAGTCGCGCGAAAGAATGCAATCATTGCTACATTATGCAACTTCTTCCCAGGGTTTAATTTTTCTACTGCCGCTGATATTTTTGATAAAGAGAAAATAAAAGTCTACAGAGGGAGACCACTGGTCCTCGAGCCTCGTGATGTACGTACATAAAGCTGACAGACAGCAATATAATGGCGGTCTTGTGTTCTTTGCAGTTGTTCTCCGGGATGTCACGTTCCCCTTCAAAGCCGTCTTTTTTTTTTCCTCACTGGGATGGAAGGGAACACCGCTAGATACTCCGAAGAGGAGCTGCGAAGGATTATGATTTTCCGTTCTCCATCTACGCATTTCTTCATTTTCTCTTAGTTTAGTGAAACGAACTGTATCTGTTCTATAATAATGAAATGGTCACCTGGCCGTGACCAGCCGTGTTATAGCAACATTCATCTTGCCGATTAATTCCAACATTGTAGGAGCCTCCCCCACCCCCACAGGTATCACGAGCATTGTCTCCAACGCCTCCCCCAGAGTATCCCCCTCCTCCCCCTCCTCCCCCTGCTCCTCCAGCTCTCCATCCAGCAGCTCCACCGCCTCCACCAAACCCACCATCGATACCATTTTTCCAAGCTCTCCCACCCTCCCCTCCCTGAAGAAATCCCCTACCACCCTCTCCGCCGTTTCCACTGCCTCCACCAAAGTTTTGTCCACTTTTTCCATTGGAGTAAAACCCGCCACCACCACCACCTGAAAGATAATAATGATAATTACATGTAAACAAAAATATATTTTTTTGATTGAGATACTTAAGGAGCGATTGTCATAAATATTAGTTTTTGCTGGCCGGGCAGCATTTTCAAGCAAAGACTTTGGTCACGAGCTTAGCCGATAAATAATGTATCAATTCTCTCTTTTTTTTCTTACTATAACTGATTAAAGAACTTACCCCGGCCATTTCTATCAGAGGCCTGGGCACCATGCCCATCACTCCCCCCTGACCATGAATTGTACCCAGGATTCCCAGTTGTTTCTGTGCTGGCGTCGCATCCTGCATGTTTTGAAACCGCCTGCTGTACGCCTCCTCCGCCTCCAGCTATTATTAAAGAAGTGTTGGCTCCTCTCACTACAAATGTACCTCCACCGCCTCCAGATGACGGACCCGCAATGTTTACTGTTCCCTCTTGACCAACAAGTATCAGGATGACTTCGCCCTTGTTTAAGCGGAATGTTCCAGTTATTTTTGCTCCTCTTCCACGATACTGAGAGCTGTTAGCTGTTGAATCGTATCCTCCTGCTGCTCCTATTGCTTCTATTCTGTAGTCACCAGTGTACGGCACAGTCCACCGCTGAGTACCGTTGGATACTGTAACTTGTCCGTCATGATCCTGACCTGTGTAGTGACTGCCCAGCGTTGTTGGACCATATCTTCCAGTGGCATTGAGATTTGTAAAAATAGCTTTAAATACTGAAGGGGAATAGTTAAATTGTGTTTAGCAATGATGAAAACGTAAAAGCTAACCTTTTTCAAAGAGAATATGAATCCAGTAGTCTATAAAACAACACATAAATTACGCATATTGTCTTATTGCGCAGGCAGGCACTTTCTATGTCTTTTTGGGACTCCAATGGGGCTGGTAATCAGGACCCAATCAGTGTCACTGTTAACGTTCACGTCCCTTCTTAATATTCAAACAAAAGGGCCGTACTGGAGAATATTGGCCCGAGGTCGTGACGGTACGAACCGAGCGCAGTTAGGTACGAACAAATCGTATGTGGGCCAAAATTATTTCCCCCCTACATTCAAACAAGCAAAGTTAGTAAATGATTTAGTTGATAGCACTTTGGACCAAACTTATTTAGTTTGAATTTGCCGGCTTCTGCGGACAAAAGGAATGACGTGAGACCGTTTTAATGGAAACAGCCTGTATGGCAAAATCAGACCAAGTAATAATTAATCAGAACGCTCAGATTTGCTTCAGGAATACCTTGCCATGCAATAATGTAAAGCCGTTCCTTACTGTGGTTGAAGATGTTATGTCGGTCTTCTTTGTTATAAAGGTCAAGAACTGGGGCTTCTTATTTGACCCAGTTACTGTAAATTGTTTATGTGCTCTTTTTTATTCGTTTGTCTTTGCTCGAGGTTGTAAAAGAATCACCAAGTTTGCAGTCCCACATTCTTGGGATTGTCTAGAGTGGTTAGATTACTTAAACTCTAGAGGAGAATTTTCTTGAACAGTCACCGAACAAGGTAATACAAAAATAAATCAATTCCGAAGTATAACGAGGTAATTTAGTATCATCAACTGAGTTGATAGCGTAAATTAGCCACCGTAAAGAGTTTCAAAGCTGACGTTTCGAGCGTTAGCCCTTCGTCAGTTTCGTATGACGTTTCGAGCGTTGGCCCTTTGTTAGCCCTTCGTTAGCCCTTCGTTAGCCCTTCGTCAGCCCTTCGTCAGAATCTTAGCCATTCGCTTTGACGAAGAGCTAACGCTCGAAATGACAGCTTTGGAACTCTTTACGATTAATACCAGAGTACTTAAACACTCAATTAGAAATTACGTTATTTGTAAACCTAGTGTTTGTGTCAGGGAGTGTCCAATCGGAATACGTATAATCGATGGATAGGACTTGTTCTAATCTGAAAAGCAGAACATTAATTTTGCATACTTACTGCACGAATACGACCCATACGTGTTGTTGCAACTTGCATTAGAGAGACAATGGTGTTTGTTAGTAAGACACTCGTCTATATCTAAAAGATAAAAAAGGCAGCAGTATAGACGAATGTGTTCATGTGCGAAAAACACTGAATCGACTCACATCTATGTAAATTTATTTCAATACCTTCCCTGTGCTACAATGGTTTCTCACAAAATACGGACCATAGGACAATTGTGACGGTAGGGGCAATAAGGGCGTGGCAAAACAAAGTACCTAGTTGGCTGAATAATAGCTTAGCACGTGCGTTTTAAAACCTTTTACATTTCTTGGCCGTCCTCTGCAAAACGACGACGCGAAATCACCAAATTTTGCGTGGTCCGAGAAGGTGAACCTCAAAGTAAAATAATTTAAGTTTCCACTTGGAATTCAACGTTGCTCACAAACCATGTGCTCAAGTTAAGGCGTGAATCGTTGATGTTGTTGATAAATTCGTTACGTCTAAGCAAATACAAATTAACTTATTCCGTTGGTTAGAAATTTTAGAGAGACAGTTTTCATTGTTACCTGTGCAGTTTTTGCCATCGCCATTAAAGCCTTCCTTGCAGCTGCAATTAAAAGAGCCTTCGGTATTGCTGCAGTCAGCATTGACGTCACAATTGTGGGTATTGGTAATACATTCGTCTACATCTGAAGAAACAAATGCTTTCTATTAAAAGTAAAAAATCTACAACACCTATACAGGAATGGTATGATCGACTGAGAGACCATTTTTGATTTATTACGAATGACCCCCCTTTGTACCCCCGCGAAAACCATTTCATCCCCCTAAAGTCCCCTCCCCCCTCCCATAATTTCCCAGTGAAAGTGCATCGCGTAAAAGTATGCTTACCATTTACCATAAACAAGTGATCCATACTCGTATAATTGAAAATTAGATCAATTAAGAGACACATTGACAAGAAAAAACACAAGTGTATAAGAGAAATGAAGACGTCGCGAGTCGCTGCGTGAGAATCCCGAGAGGAGACCAGCAACACTCGACTCACGCCAAGAGAGTGAATTGGTGCGTTGCGTGATCATGAAAACAAGAGAATCGATTTGATTCACATCATTTTCATAGTTCAGAAACTTCAAAAATAGGTAGGCATCGAACCAAGTGGCCCATCCAGCCGGAGATTATTCCAATTTCCATTGGTTCCCCCCCTCCCTTACATATGTTGTAAGTCCATGACAAGATTATCCCCAGCATTTCATTAAGCTTGCAATTCACCACTACCCATATATACCCCTGAATAGACAGAGGCACTATGAAATTAGAGTATTTTGCCTAAGAATACAACACGGAGACCCAGCCAGGTCTTGATCCCGGACTTCTCGCCCAGGAGTCCAGTCCCGGAGCTAACTATTATGGCAAATGCCTAATGATTCTCTAAATGCTAAGTTGTCTTTAAGCTCTGAAAAAAACGTATCTGGGAGAGCAACCATAACGCCAAACAAAATGTAACTCAAAGTAGAACAAACAGAAAGACAACACTGAAAAAGACTCTAAACACACCGCTGTAATTGAAAGCACCAAAAATAAAAGGAAAGGATGTGCGTAAGAGAGAGAAACTAAAACGGGTACAAAAGAGCTGCATTGAAAGAGGAATTATAACCATTACACTGCACGCGCAACGTAGCCCTTACCTTTTTCACAGTGTTCCCCTGTGTATCCAGGCTGACACGCACACATATATCCCTTGTTTGTGAATCCAACCAGGCAAGTTGCATTGTTGTAGCACGTGTGGAAGGAACACTTGTTCTGATGCAAAAATATATGTAGCTTTATTTTTCTTTAAGATAAGACGGGGGGGGGAAAGGAATTCTCCTATAATGATCTGTACTATTCTTATAACAATTTCCCCTCCCCCATCCCCCCCTCATTGGCATATTCCCCCTTGCTACTCTGTTGGCGACTATTGAATCCCACTCCATTCCCCATGGAAACAATGTGATGCCCAAAAATTCTTGACCCTCCCCTCCCCTTTTATTAAATGGTCCTTAGCTAAGATAGATATTCTACACCCTCTGATTGCCAGTAATGTACTTGTGATATCGACCTTGCGGAAACGTGACCAGATCTTTTTTTTTTTTTTTGCATGAATGTTTTGTCTTCCCTCGTATTATTCTCACTGATATAACGACCACAAACGGCAATCAGCACACTTGAAGCCGCAGTTCGCTCTGCTCGGTAAACTTCGATCGTAAATTACGTGTCTACTTATGATGAGAACACTGGATAAACTTTTACATGAATCGTCTCAGATTCGACGCCACAGATTTTTCCTGTGTTCTAATAATCTCTCATCACATTGCTTGTGAATTATTTCACTGATAAAGTGAAAGAATCTGCAAATTATTTATTTTTACCTCTATTTTCCTATACATGAAGCCTGCCGCTGATTTCAGATCATCTGGATGTTGCACGTGGTCTGAGTCACTCAGCTGGCACAAAACTTTATCTTTTTTTTCTGGTCCCATGTTGATCGATGTACATCTGTCTTCCATAGTACACCAATTTCTACAGTGACTATTCATATGCATTCCGGTTGGTAATGAAATGTTTTTTAAGACATGACCTACCAATGCATATCCATTTATTGGTTTCAGAAACCTGAGTCGCCTACAACCATCTGTAAGTTAGACAGGAGTGGATAGGGTTTAAGACTGAAGATTGGCGGGAGAGAAAAAAACAAAACTTAAAAATAATGCTCATAGCGTCACACTGAATAGAGCGCTTTCGATTGCGTTACGTCAGAGGAAAGGAAAGTACCTTTAAGAGCCAATAAGAATTCAAAAGAGAAACAAACGAACTTCCTAAGGCGAGGGAAAACGCGGGCGATCAAATCGTCAATGGTGTTATTTTTTAATCTGATTGTTTCAGAGAGTGGTGTGAGTTTTCTTGAACAATCAAGGTAAAGTAAAGCAAAAACAATGCAATCTTAAACATTCGTCATTGAATTAAGAATTTGTCGAAAATTAAAGAATCCTGGATTTGAACATTTTCATGATATCAAACGGATCGACTGATTATTCTAATTTCCATTCTAGATTCTACATGTATCTGCCCAAAAGAATTGTTAGATTGTATCGGATTGTGCATCGATCAACTTTTTCCTCGGCATTCATAAGAATTTTCTTACAATACCTAAGTTACTTTTTCTTTCTTTCGGGAAATACAATATGGTTTGTTTAAGAGGATAACATTATTGTAATTCATGAAACGGATTTGGGAAGACTTAATAAAATAGTAACGCGAACTTCCTGCGGTTGAAAGCAATAACGACATGGAATGCTTATCAACGGTTCTTGGTAACATTCAGTTTCAACAAAACCTATTGCTTTTAATAAGTAATGTAAAATCATATTATATGGTAAAAAATTGTCAAATACTTGTATGAAGTGGTGTTTCGTCTCGGCCAAAATATAATTCTCATCAGATGCCTTTCGGAATTTTAAAGCCAAATTTTCGAGCTAAATTTTCAAATTTTTCAAGCTCAAAGGCCCGTTCGCGAATTCAAGATGTTAGGAATCTGGCCCTCTACAGCAGAAGGATTCCCAACCGCATGTTCACGAGTTACAATTTATACGATATAGAATTATGTTGGCCACAAGAATCTAACCAATGTTTTGGATGAACTTGCTGTATCCTTCCGTGAACAAGTTTATTTAATTTTTTTTTTAGTAGCTCTATAGTTCATTTGTTTTATTTGATATTCTCGTCTTGCTCTGTAGGTCTGGTAAATAAATTTTGAACCCAGTCTCCTTTCTTTAATTT